AAGGATATCTACAAGCGGGATCTGAAGGCCTTAGAAATGGACCTCAACAGATGAGAAACCTTGACATCTGAGCATTCAGCCTGGAGGCAGGCGGTACAGCATGGCCTCTCCCAATTTGAAGAGACCCTTGTCCAGCAGGCTGAGGCAAAGAGGCAGTCCCAAAACCAGCAAAATCAGGGAGATGAACAGGGGACAGATTGTACAGTGGACCCTCTACTTACAGAATTAATCCGTATTGGAACGGTGGCTGCAGGTCGAAAAGTCTGTAGGTCGAGTCTCCATTGACCTACAGTGCATTGAAAACTGGTTAGTCCCATAACCTGCCGTTTTTGTTCCATTTTGGTTTTTTTCTGGTCTGTAGGTCGATTCTCCGGCTGCAAGTCAAACCTAAATTTTCCTACTAGAGAAGTCTGTAACTCAAAAAGTCTGTAAGTTGAGCCGTCTGTAAGTCAAGGGTCCACTGTATTTGTCTTCAGTGTGGAAGGGATTGTCACTCTCAAATTGGCCTTTTCAGCCACACTAGACGCTGTTCCCTCTATCCACAGCATGTTACTATAGTCTCTCGAGACTGAAGGATGCCTACAGAAAAGCAGCATAAATGCAATATGACTTTAATACAGTGCTTGGGAAAGTATTTTCCAGGCGTTGAGCTTAGCAACCTGTGGAGAACAAACAGCAGCTTCTGAGAAAAGGCTCCACCTCTTCTTACAGTGCAAAGGCTGCTAAACCTTCTCGTCAATTGCTATTTATAAATATGATGGAGGTTTGGTCAAATCTAGTCTGTTTCTTATCCATTGATAAGAGTGGAGGTGTTTAAGCGTCTGATTAAGACCATTTTATGTTTGCATACTTATGAGATCTCATGATGCATCCCCATGATAACTTTTACTTCTATGCTTGATTTTTCATTAATGTGATGTTATCTTCTTTTCTTTGTTTCATTAACTGCATTTAGTTTGTTCTATCTATGGAGTGTGTTTTTCACACTGAGGAGTCTTTGGGATGATTTGAAGACAAAGAAATAATTGTATAGTTGAAATAGGTTTAATTTATACTTATTATATTTTTACTGTAACACTGCACACAGAGGAACATTTGATCCACCATGTCAGACTCATCCAGTATATTGTTGCCTATGGTATACTGACACCTTTAATCCCAGGGAAGAAGCAAAAACCAAGAAATTTGTTCAGTTCCTGGTGTAGTGCTTCGGAAGACTAGTAGGATGAATTTACTTTCATTGGTCACCCATTTCACAGGCGTGGTCTAGATCTCTTGATTCTTAAATTGCAGAGACTACAGAGAGAGTGCCATTGTAACAAAAGTATTTGTAGTAGAATATGTAACTTCATACACCCCTGTGCCTGATGAAAATAAGGATGAGAATTTCCTGAAAGACCGCTCCAAACAGGCAAGTTTATAAACATTATAAATGGACTGTGAAGTGCTGTTATAATTAGGGTGTGCTGTTTTATGGTTTTGGATCTCAATTCCCAGAATTCTAGTAATTGTACCCCACAAATCTAAATATGTACACACACACACTATGGTAGCTTCCATTTTGGTTTTGTTCCATTTTTTTACAAATCAACAATAGGAAGTTGCCATGATAGTAAATGATGGTGCAGGTAAATAACTTGAAACTTCATTGTGCAGAGTTGGATTTGTGGACTGCAATTCCCCAAAATTTTGGAGAACTCTAGAAATTGCAGTACAAAAACATAAAAGAGCACACATCTACTAATCAACATTGTTCTCTTTGCATTTCCGACTTGGTCTCTTTGTTCTCTTTGCATTTCCGATCTGCTCCATTTGTTTTCTGTGCATTTCCGATGGATCTTGCATACTTGATTACTTTTCTTCCCCCGCCCCATAGCTAGAAGGGATTAATCACATTTCCAATGAGTCCTGCAGTGATTTTGTGTGTGTGATTTTTTTTCCTTCGGCCGGAACAGATTAATTGCATTTCAGTGCATTCTTATGGGAAATGGTGCTTTGATTTATGACCATTTTGAGTTACGTCCATCTTCTGGAACGGATTATGGTCGTTAAGTCGAGGCACCACTGTATTTCTTGGTCTGGACTAGCTAGTTTCTTGATCCTTTTCCCTGACTTACTGTCCTTTTCTGTTTGTAGCGTTCCCCTTTATTATGTCAGTGGTTCATGTCCTGTTATGTTAATTGTTCATGCATATTCATGCTGCTGAGAGGCGGAGCCGAGAGAGATGTGATAAGAGGTGGAGCCTGAGAAAGAGTCAGTCAGAGAGTATCTTGGTCTCTTTGTTCTCTTTGCATTTCCGAGTCAGTCAGTGAATATGAGTAGCATGAGAGAGTGGAGGAGATAGGGTGTGCTATTTTGGGAGAAATCTGAGAGGGGATTAGAGTTAGGAGTGTATTATCAAATAGAAGATAGTTGTTAATAATAAATTTACTTAAAGAAGATATTAATGAATCAATATCAATTTCTGTAATCAATAAACAAAAGTTATATTTAAAAGACAGTGAAGTGTGGACGTGAATCTTCATCTTCCTGAAGTAATGGTGATTTAGTGATCACCTGGTGACAGCAGTGTAAAAGAGGGGATTGTTTGCCTTCGTGTGCTGTGAGTCTTGACAGTCAAGCAAGGGGACACGAAGGGCGAACACCACACTGATTTATGCTTTAGTTCTGACTGTTGCCTTCCCCTTAATAGAAACCACTAGTCTACTCCATGGTTTCTAGTCCTCAGCTTCTGGTTCTCCTCAGACTGGTGCCAAAGTCACAGCCCTGTGATTTTCCATGTGGCCATGGAAGAATCAAAGGAGCTATCAAAGTTCCTAAGCGAGAGCAATGCAAGAGGACTGAAAGGGATGTTCCATAAGTAAAGCAAGATTTTCTTTCTATCTATCTATCTATCTATCTATCTTTCTTTCTTTCTTAACTAGCACATTTTTGTTGTTACTTTTAGATGGAAGGTGGATTGTCTGAGTTAAGTCTAACAAAGAAAGAAATGAATGCAGAAAGCAAATTCCATTGGAACTATGTTGCAGAGGAATTACAAGGTACTATTATGTTAAAAGCCAGAGGTCAGAGGACCCTAAAATGATTACTGGCGTGTGTAGTTTCCTGACTATACTTAGTGCTCAAATACTGTGTCTTATGAGCTCTGTGATAACATTCTGAACATCTTTTCTGTGCTCCCAACATAACCCTTAGATTAAAAATCTTGAATACTGCCATTACAGTGTGTACTATCATTGAAAGCGGAAGTTGGGGTGGATTGGGTATGCACAGGTAGGAGAGAGGCAGAGAGAAGACATCTGAATAGCAGCTGGGCTACAGCATTCAGGGGGCTCAGGACTGGTCATTACAGAATTCTTTATGGCATCAGCCCTTGCCATTCTACTTGAATTGTGAGATGAGGGAGATCACCAAAGGATGCTGAGCTGCAGGTGTCACAATGTCTTGGGCCAGTCTCATTTAAATATAGGCATCCTCCATCCTACTCTTTTCTGCCTACTTAAATATATACAGTACTAAACTTCTCTTCTGGCAATTCAGATTATTTTCGAAATTTAAGAATATTTCTGACTTAATGGAAATCTGGTGTGTGTTTCTACAGGTTTCAAAATCCTAATTTTCCAAGATAATTCAAGGTCTCATTCTCATTCCCAGTTGACACTTCCTACAAGTGTCAAAATGTCTTGGGCCAGTCTCATTTAAATACAGGCATCCTCCATCCTACTCTTTTCTGCCCACTTAAGGTTGCTGCAGGGTCTTTCTGGGCTAGGGTGGTGGCGCCTCAGTCTCCCTGCCGAGGCTGGAGCTGCGAGGGGTGGCTGACTTAATGGAAATCTGGTGTGTGTTTCTACAGGTTTCAAAATCCTAATTTTCCAAGATAATTCAAGGTCTCATTCTCATTCCCAGTTGACACTTCCTACATGACTCGATAATCCATAGGGTCCTTCCAGCTCTGCAGTTCCAAGATGATAGTGATTGTATATGTCAGAAGAGGAACTGCAACAGCATCTATGGGTGATTCTGGTGTGCTTTTGTGTACAGTGGTGCCTCGCTTAGTGATGTTAATTCATGCTAAGCGATAACATCGCTAAGCGAAAATAAAAAGCCCATAGAAATGCATTAAAATGCGATTAATGCGTTCCTATGGGCTTAAAACTCACCTTTAAGCGAAGATCCTCCATAGCGCTGCCATTTTCGGTGCCTCTAAAGTGAGGAATCCGTGCCTGAAAACAGCAGGCGGCCATTTTGTTTACCTGACGGCCATTTTAAAACCGCCAGTCAGCTGGCCAAAAATGGGGGCTTTGCGATGATCGCTTCCCTGCGATCATCGCAAAGCGAAATTTCCCCATAGGGAACATCGCAAAGCAATCACTTTTGCGATTGCAAAAACAGTGTCGCTAAGCGATTTCATCACTATACGGAGCGATCGCTATGTGAGGCACCACTGTATATTTCTATGTGATGTTCCATGTTTGCATATGTGATAGAAAATGAAAAGAGGCTGCTTCTTCAATTTGTAGTTGTTGGTTAGTCTTCCCTTGAGGTCTGTTGTCCTTCTCTTTTGAGGTATTTGCCTTTGATTTGATTTGTAGTCTGTGATAGCCACAATGGCCAATATTTTAGAATGGTTCTGTTTGAGCTACAACTGCCCCCCTCACCAGGCAATATCTAAATAGAAAAAGCATATGCCTAGTACACTTCTTGAATCATTAAACAAATTGTGAATATGATAAAGAGACCTCTGGGTAGAGTGGGCGGCTTTTGAGGTATTTGCCTTTGATTTGATTTGTAGTCTGTGATAGCCACAATGGCCAATATTTTAGAATGGTTCTGTTTGAGCTACAACTGCCCCCCTCACCAGGCAATATCTAAATAGAAAAAGCATATGCCTAGTACACTTCTTGAATCATTAAACAAATTGTGAATATGATAAAGAGACCTCTGGGTAGAGTGGGCGGCATATAAGGTTGCTGCAGACGCAGAGGGTCTTTCTCGGCCAGGGTGGTGGCGCCGGCGCCTCAGTCTCCCTGCCGAGGCTGGAGCTGCGAGGGGTGGAGAGAGAGAGAGAGAGACGAAGCACAGCTGATCGGCGGGGCTATGGCAAAGCCCCGCTGATCAGCTGTGCAAAAAGGGTCACTGCTATGATCGCTTTCCCCATAGAGGCCATCGCAAAGCGATCACTCTTGCGATGGCAAAAAGTCCATCGCAAAGCGATTTCATCGCTATACGGAGCAATCACTATGCGACGCACCACTGTATATAAAATTGACAGTAATTCATCTCCTAATCAATTTTTTTAAAAAAAAATCCTAGGACTTATGTAATAGCTATCATGTTTTAAATAATGTTAGTTGAAATCCCCATTTTTATGAAATGTATTACAGAAGAGTAGTTGAAATTTGTGTGTAATTTTCGGTTTTTCAACAGCAGAAAGTTCTGTGCCTTCCCATCTCAGTGAACCACATCTGAAAAAAAATTACTGGACTACCTTAAGTGATAGAAAAGAGACTCACTCGGCCATATTGATGCCTCAGTCACAGGTAACAAAAACAATTCATTGGTTCACATTACAGAAAAATACCATTATGGGTAGCTCCATTAGAAGCGTTCTCTGATCCGGCAAGAATATCTCAAGGGATAAACAGAAGATATGCCAAGATATTAGATAGAGATTTTAATCTTAAAAACAAAGATGAACTGGCAGAACAAGATATTATCTTAGACTGGTGGTCGATAAATTTATTGAAATCAAGATATGTAAAAGATAAAGCTATAGGGTTCCAGAAAGACAAAATACCTTTGGATAAGGGGTTGCTGGATTCAGAGGAAAAATTGATTAAAGGTTTATATAATTCAAAATATAGGACATAATATAGAACTAAGTGTCTGGTCACAAATTTGGGAACGAAATATTAAAATGACTAAATCTATAAATTTAAAAGAAAATATATACACAATATTTTATAGATGGTATGTAACACGAGAGAAATTTTAAAAAATGTATAAAAATGTTTCTAACAAGTGCTAGAAATGTGAAAATAATGTATGGAGCTTCTATCACATGTGGCGGATGTGTAATAAGGCCAAGGAATTTTGGGAAATGATTCATGAAATGATAGAGAAAATTTTAGGGGTTAAAATTGCTTTGACACCAGAAAGCTTCTTAGTGAATATATTACCACCTATACTCGAAAAAAACAAGACCTACTTGACCTTACACCTGATAACGGCAGCTAGAATTGTATATACCAGAAAGTGGAAGATGACAGAGATCCGGACAAAGAAGGAATTTATTGAGAAGATTTTGAACTAGCAGAAATGGATATTTTGACAGATACATTAAATTACAGACTGGATAATAATAAATGGGAACCTCTTTATACCTGGATGAAATCTACATAAACTTAAAAAGCAAAAGCAAAGCGTTCTGCTTATATACTGCCCCATAGCACTTCAAGCACTCTCTGGGTGGTTTACAAATTAATTATGCAGGCTACACATTGCCCCCCCCCCCCAGCGAGCTGGGTACTCATTTTACCGACCTCAGAAGGATAGAAGGCTGAGTCAACCTTGAGCCGGCTACCTGGGATTTGAACCCCAGGTCGTGAGCACAGTTTTAGCAGTTTTGGCTGTAGTTCAGCAGGTTAACCGCTGCGCCACGAGGCTTAAGTAGAATAGATTAGATCAATACTATGTTAGAGAGTATAAGATAAGATTAAATGAATGGAATATATTGTAATAAATCACTCTGGTTGCAACGGATCAAAAAGTAGAAAAAATACAATAAAAATATTTTTAAAACCAAAAAAAAACCAAAACTAAAAAAAACAACACAATTCATTGGTTCAAGTATTAGAGGAGAAATTGACAACTTCCATAAGTCCAGAAGTCTACCCATTATAAACACAAATGTGCTCCGGTGCACCCAGGAAACTACATTATTTATAAAGTGTTAACTGCAAGCTTTCTCCAAGATCTTAGGTGGAAAACTACTATGAACTGTACCAAAATTTGTGTGGTCATTTGGTTCTTGCTTGAGGGTCTGACTGAGGCTTGATAAATGAAAACTAGTTGTCGCTGTCTTTCTTTTTTCTCCCCCCTTTCCTTCCTTCCTTCCTTCCTTCCTTCCTTCCTTCCTTCCTTCCACCCATCTAGTGACCAGGCACTATTCTGAGCAGCTAACAGCAATTAAAAAAACCACTACAGTGATGCCTCGCTTAACGAGGATAATCCGTTCCAGCGAAATCGCTGTAGAGTGAAATCCTCGTTAAGCGAAATAAAACATCCCATTGAAACCACGTTGAAAACCCGTTCAGTGCGTTCCAATGGGCTGAAAACTCACCGTCCAGCAAAGATCCTCCATAGGGGCGGCCATTTTCGATGCCTGTAAAGCGAGGAATCCATCCAAAAACACAGCGGGGAGCCATTTTACACAGCGGGTGGCCATTTTGAAGCCACTGATCAGCTGTTTTAAAAACATCGGCTAGCGAAAAATCGGTTCCCGAAGCAGGGAACCGATCATCGGGAAGCGAATTATGCCTATTAAAACTTCATTTTTGCAATTGCAAAATAGTCATCGTATAGCCGTTTTGTCATTTAACTAGGCAATCATTAAGCGAGGCACCACTGTACTGTCATATAACTAGGCAATCATTAACGAGGCACCACTGTACCCATCCTAACCTACAAAGACATAAATAATGAGATCCAAACAATAACAACATAACACATACAGGGAGAACTTTCACATAACACTGAAATTATAAGAACAATGATGGAATGAAAAGAAAGATTGAAGTAGTAAGTGGAAATGAAAAAGCTTATTAATTTTCACACAGGTGGATCAAAAACCCAAGTTATTTTTGGAACATCTAATGTAGCAAAGTGAATGTTGGATGGCATAGTTGTACAATGCTGCCATTCATGTATTACAAATTTTCATAAAATGTACATGTTCTGTGTTTTAAAGGGCAAAGTGCTATGTTGTGTGTGTGGAGCAGAAAATCCAATTCATATTAAACACTGTGTGATCTGCGACAACAAACTACCTGAAGCACATATGGTAAGAATAATTCCTGCACAAAATAACTATGGAAACAATTTGGGAGCCATGAGTTTAATTTTAAAAGTGAAAATTTGAAGACAACTGTTTTCATAGGCAGACTGTTCAAATGAAAAACTAGTTTAGATTACTCACTGTGTAATTTACATGATGGAGTTAAAACCTTAACGTTGGTTTTAGATCTGCTGTGTGAACAAGAATTCTAGTGCACAGAATAACTGCAGTACTCACTGGCAATTCAGCTGGGCTGTTGCAGAGTCCATTCCTGGTTGATCACATGAATACAAAAGTCATGCTAAGATCACAGCAAAATTATGTCCTCATTGTCCTAGCTTTAACTTTCTTGACAGGAGAGAATCCCATCCTAGCTCTTACTAAACATTGATCCCTGACTTCTCCCCCACCTCCAAGGCCCTACAGTGAGTGCTTGCTATTATAAAAGGGAAAAAAGCACATCTGCTGTAGCATATGAAAAACTGTTTATTTATTTTTATTTATCTTGTGAAAGACTTTGCATTGTAAGAATAAATCTGTTCTGTGCTTGAAAATGTATTGGTTGTAGGTGTGTTCAGTGAAAGTATTTTTTTTAATTTAACTTATTTTTTAATCCCACCTTTCTCCTTAAAAAGGAGCCAAGGTGATTTACATCATTAAAAGGCAATATTTAAAGCAAAAAGTAAGCATACATTACTAAAAAGGATCAAACAAATACCACACTGAAAAACAGTAAACACCAGAAACACATTCAAAGCAATAAAGGCACAACCATCAATTAAAAAAAACCACTCAGGCAGCCAGTCATTAAGGGAGAGCTTGCCTGAAGAGAGAGGTTTTCACCAGCTTGCAGAAGGTAAGTAAAGATGGGGCCAGTGCACAGTATCAAGCTACTATCATGAAATACTCTGTTTCACATAATAAATACCCTTTAATCTGTTGTCCACAACTGGCATTTAGAGATTCAGCCTTTTAAAATGCAGATCATCTTAGTCCAAATATATATTTATATGTATATCTCCCAATTCTCTCTTCTCAGCCAGGTCTCTTTCCATTCCATTTCACCTGCTTCAAGTGTTCTGCAAGGAATTATCCACATGATCTGTTCTGTGGTACTTGTGGTGTCTTTATTGAGCCATCATGCAGATTAGACACTGATGATACACTCGTAAATGCTGGAGATGATTTTGTGATTTCCAAGGTATGTTTTCACTGACAAATAATAATAGTCATGCTTAGAAGCACTAGTTCACCTGTTCAGCTGTTGCAATCTGATGTTATCCTGCGGCTAACAAGATCTTAATTTCTTATAGTAAAACCTTTAATTTTTTATATTTAAAATTTCAATTTAAAAAAAGACCTTTGTGGCTGAAAATACATATGTCATTTTCCCCTAATCATTCTGGTCAACTGAAGATTTTTTAAAAACTTGTAAGTAAAATGGAAGGAATCTAGATCCTGTCAATACGCATGGTGGGGATGGGCAGACATTCCCTTCTAGTCAGTTTCTAAAGTATGTTTGTGTTGTCGTCCATATAAGGGGTTAAAAGAAAAAAGCAGAAATCCCCATTGGTGCTTTTTTAAAGTGGAGGTGGTGTGTGTTTGTGTGTGCTTGTTTGTTTTCAAGGGTGTGAATCAGAATCCCTGGTTCAAAATTCTTCTTTGATATGAACTGTCAAAACACTGTCAATCACAGTCCTTCATCTAGAAATTCAGGTTTAATAATACTATAACAGGCTTAAATATATTAAGTTTATTTTACTTAATTCTTTTTGAACTATTAAAAATTATATATAAATACTTGGTCGGACTATAAGGTATCAGAGAGCCTACTGAATTTCCTCAGAAAAATATACAGTATTAGCAGCATACGTATCTATAACTTAACCTATTTTAACAGAATTATAGCTTGCAGACCTGGCAGCAGTCGACTAATTCATTGCCAACACCAAGAACAAATCTAGTAGAGAAAAAAGAACAAGGAACACAAACCACTGGCTTGTACTATCCATCCAGCAAACTTCTGGAGAAGAAAGAATATGAGCTAGTTTCACAAACAGGGAAGCAGAATAAGGTACATGATCACAAGCCTCTGCTCACAGCCATCAGTCCTGGAAGAGGTGAACAAAACTTGATGAGTTCATTGTTTTATAAAGAATTCTTCATAAGCCAACTCCTGCATTACTCATATTTCTTTATTCTGTCCATTTTTCTTGCTCCTGTTTCTGGGCTCAAAAATACTGACCCACCATACTTTTGTTTATTGATTTCCCCTTCAGTTTTCTTTTCCATAGCCATCCAACTACATCACTCTTCCTTTGCTGACAAGTTGCTTATGTGTGTTGGTATTTGTTTTGCTTTTGCCTTTCTTCTAAAGCTCCCTTCTCACCCATCTTTTATTTTTCCCCTTGCAAAATAGGTATCTGCCTTCTCCAAAGAGATGACATATAATTGCAGTTTATTTTTGATATATATGCAGCATTTTACGTATATATGCAGCTTTGGAAGAGAACAAAGTGAGGTTTCCTCTCTAACCTTGCAATATATTCATAATTTACCATTCTAAAGGAAGTTGCCTTTTTTGCTCCCATTTTAAAATATAGTTTAAATCCTGTCTGTTTCAGAAGTCTTTTTATGGTACCCTTTTCATACCCTTTATTATGTTGGTTTTTTAGATGTGTGATCTATTTTCCTTTGTTTTTAGTATGTGATCTGAACTTTTTCATTTTGGTTACTGTTAGTTTATTACCCATTTTGTGAAAACTTATTTTGAAATATAGATTGAGATGATTAACAAAAGAGGGGTTTCAATTTCGCTACATAGGGAGTTAGTTTTACAATTAGGTTATAGAACATAAAGATAGGTTGTCGTCTCTTCTTACAGAGATCTAGTGGAATAGAATTTTCTGATGGTTAAGTTCAGGGACTGTTTTCAACATGGTTAATATGTAAATAAAGTAAAGCAATGAAAGTGTTGTGTGTATGTCCCTGTCATATACCTTATAGCCAATGCTGGATAAGAAGGTGAGAAAATTATCTGTTGCTGGGCAGGATGTTTTACACCAAGGTGGCTGCTTTGACAGTGTTTGTCTTAAGTGAGAGAAGATCAGGTTCTTCTGTCATCGAATGAAGAAATGGCATCTCAGAATTGGGTTATTTAAAAATAAATTATTGTACCTTTCTTTCATGCACTAATATAAAAGCCTTAAGTACTTTGTGGAGTATTTTAGCAGTAGCTTTAGCACTGTGCTTAAACTAAGGGTTGTTGCAAGCGTTTCCTGAGTTACTTGTTATTTCTTGGATTCACAGAGAGTTTGCATGTTCTCACTTATTTAGACCAGTTTGCTAACAGATTTGCTATCGTCTGCTTTTCAGCATAACAGTTTGATTTAGAAAGACAGGAAACTGTTTGTTTGTGTCTAATACAATACATTGGCTAGGACAAAAGAGTGCCCTAATGGAAATGTTTTGTCACAGCTGGGGTTTTGTTTGTTTGTTTTTTTCATTTTTCATTTTGGTTTTAGTTTTGCCTGGAAAAATAACAGTAGCAGTAACAAATGGCAGCAATCATGGCAGGTGCCTAATGCTTACACTGAAGGTTAAATTCTGTATGGGTTCTACAACAAAATGTAACTCTAGAAGAGCAAAATCTCCTGCTCTTGTGGTCAAATAAGAGGTTTCTGTTTTGCAAAAATAGTTTTTTTGAGAAACCAGAAATGGACTTTTAATTGCTTCTGGTTTCAGATTTCAGGAATAGTGCAGTCCATGAACTTGCAGTTATGCTGAAAGTATGTTATGGTAGTGATGAGTTGAATTAATGTATTTTTGGTTCATAGCAGGGTTACTTATCCACTTGATTATATCAGCTCTCTTATTACTTTGATGTGATCTTTCCTCTCACCATAACTACTTCATTTTAGGTTACTGGAGGAAGCAACTAGATCACGTTTGTGCACATCTCAGAAGTTATACACAGAATAATGTGGCATTCCGGACATCAATTGGAGAACCTCAAATGGGGAAGGTAAGAGAAAATTCCTGGTCCAGGGATCTTTAATTGATGTAATTCACCTACTGTGTTGTTGCTAATGTAAAGTAACCTTTCAAATATAATGTAAAGTTAAAAAAAAAGGACCAGAGCTATACTTTATAGTCAAGGGTGGCATAACTTTTGGCTTGCGATTAGACATGGGATATTCATATTCGTATCCTTGGGGATATAAATGTGACTATTGGCATTGCAGGTGCCGCAGAAATCCAGTCCCTTCCCCACAAACTGACTGGTCCACTCATGGATTGCTGTGTGGTGCACACGGCCATCGTCCTCATCATCACACTCATTGGGGAAGCAGCCCAGCTAGCTCTTCCTGTCTCCTCTCACAGCCAACTGCTCAACAGCTGAGCGAGGAGACTCCCCATCCCACCTCCTTGCCAGAGTGATCAGCTGTGCAGGAAGGAGCCGTGCTGCTTCCACAATTGGTGCAATGATGAAGACAACAGCCGTGCACTCTGCGCAGCAATCCATGAGTGGACCAGCTGGTTTGCGGGGAGGGACTGGATTTCCGCATCACCTGTGGTGCCAATATTCATATTCATATCCCCAGGGATACAAATATGACTATCCCATGTCTACTTGTGGTTAATAGAAGGTGTAGTTAGCTTTGGTACTGCTGAAGACTGATGTTGATATCTGGATTTAATCTTGGGAAAGAAAGGAAGTTGATATAAGTACAAGGGAGAGAGGAGTTGGGGGCCAAACATCCTTTTTAACTCCCTTTTGTAGATTTATAAGTTCTGTGTAAGTTAGATATTTACGATTACATCATTATTTTGAGTGTTTCTTCTTTTATGTCATTGTGTTCTGCCTGCTTAATCAGTAAGCAATTAGACTGCACCTAGTTCATGTTGCAGGAGTTGATACGTAGCTAGCTGGGTGCAGTAGGAGAGTATGCATGTGTTCTGCCTGTTTAACCAGTAAGCAATTAGACTGCACCTGGTTCATGTTGCAGGAGTTGATAGCTAGCTGGGTGCAGTAGGAGAGTATGCATCAACAAGGGAAGGGCAGAAAGATGTTTAATTGGTGTTACATATTTTAACTTGAAAAAATATTAAAGCAATACATGTGCATGTGTGTCCATATCTCTGTAGGGCTCAGTGGTTCCAAACCTTGGGTTCCCAGATGTTCTTGGACTATGACTCCTAGAAATCCTAATCACTCTTATGTCTTCTGCAGCTTATTTCTGCTACAATCCATGAGGATGGTTACCAAGTCAGTCTCCATTTAAATTATGCACTTGCTATAAATAAGGTCAGTATGAAAACCTAAGCTGCTGGGAAAATCATAGTACTGTACTGAGAATCATGGTTAATTTGGAATTAATTCAGCCAGGCTGATCCTGGTTCATTTAAGACTACTAAGCTTTGACAGGCTTTTAAACACTTATTTGTAAAAATTACAGCTTCAAATAAACGTTTGTACAATGCTAAAGATCCTCCTTACATATGCTATACAAGCCCAGTGCATTGTGGAAGGGTTGTGGGCGTATTCTAGGGCAGGGGTGTAAAACTCAGTTTCTTCTTGGGCTGCATCAGCATTATGGTTGCCTTCAAAGGGCCGGTTGTATCTGTAAGACTATATAAATGTATCTACTCTTTATCATATTAAATATAATCCTCCTCATTCAGTGCTCACTTTCTGACTCTTTGCTGCTTGGAATGCTGGGATTAGAAGTCCCGCTGGGCGGATTAGCAACATCCTTGTGGAGCATTATGGGTGACCGAGTAAGCACCTGCATGTTGTATACTGCACAGTAGCAGGCAACACTGTGAGGGTGACATGAAATGGCCTGGTGGGCCAGATTTGGCCCGCAAGTCTTGAATTTGACACATATGTTCTAGAGCACAGACCTATTTAAAGGAGGCCTGGCAAAGCTTCTTGGGTCCCACTGTGGTCCTGTTTCAACTAGAATTACTTTCAATGCTCCTCTGTAGTTTCATGTTGTAGGGCAGAGGGGGTAAATGTTGGGCCTCTGAAGGGTTCATGGATGGATGGTGGGCCGGGGCTGCTGCCAGCAATAAGTGTGTGGAGCTTGGGCTCCCTCTTTCTGCTTTCTTTCTTCCCAAAATAGACATACAGATTTTCACATCATTTTCTTCCACCATCTCAGCACATAGAAACGTGCAGTATTAAATCTTCTCCCCTTAAGGAATCTCCATTCAGTTCCTGTTTTGAGTCACCCTGCCTCCCAGCAAATTGTTTATGGGAATAAATAAGGATAGTGGGCTTCTGAACTGTTTTTTAGTGTTAAGCAGCAAGCATGGGAGAAATTACATAGGAAACAGAGAAGGACCTCATGGGTCCATAGGCTGTGGATTGCTTGTAAATAAGAATCAGTAGCAAATCAGCAAAGTGTGTCTGCCCTTATTAAACAACTCATTGAGAAGCACTTTATAAGCACCTAATGCCTATATTGCATTTTAGAAATGACTGGTTCTTATTGGTAGCTTTTATGATGTGACAAATCCTGTCATATAACCAGGCATCTACTACTTATCATTCTCCAGAATATTTTCACCAGTAAACCAGTGACATTTGACTATCATGGTCTGAGACCAAATGGCACAATGGAATTAAGTGAAAATCAAGCTAATTTGGGTGAGTTTTCTTGATTTTTGTTGATATATTGCAAAATATTTGTTTCATTATCTGAGACTTAACACACATGGATTCTCATCTCGTGCCAAAACCCATTCAGAATTTCCTCTTTTAGCCTCTTAATGGGAACTCCGCCCCCCACCCTAATAGTTTCCCATCAGTTCATTTTGGCCTGCTCAGTAATCAAGTATGAAATAAGTCCTTGAGCAAATAATGTACTGTTTTCTATCTCATAGCATATTTTGTTCTAATTCCTTCTACTATTAGATTTTTTTCTTTTTTTTTTCTGTTAATTGTCTCCAGAGCTCTTTTCAAAAATGTATAGTCTATAAAACAGAAATAGTGCTGTAAGATCATCATTAAAATGAATGCCTTTGGGGCAACTCATCTCACAGTCATGCTGAATTTGTCGAATGTTCACAGAAGTTGGCCTGAGAAATAGGGAATCAAAGCTTCAGCTTTACCTTTGAGAGAAATTGTTTCAGACACTGGTTTTGGCAACAAATAAGCCACCGCAATGCTTCAGTATTTATCTGTAAATCTAAGAAACATCTTAAGGTGTTCCTTCCTACTGCCTACTCCTGGATGCCAAGATTTACCTTTGAAACCCTAGTGTCAACAGTCTGGTATCAACATAGATTCCATCTTTGTTATTGCTGGAATACTGATGTCTGTGATCAAAACAAAAATATCTACAACTTTTGAGCTTCTAATCCAGAGCTGGAGAAACTAAAGAAATACAAACAGAAAGAGGCCACAACTTTTGCATCATTATCTTATCAATTACCTGTAACTACCTGTACTCCGTGATACTATGTACAGTAAGTATTACATAGCTATATTCCACCAGTAACAATTCATATAGAGGGAAAAGACAGCATGCTGACTATCTCAGCTATCAAAATACTCAACACCATGAATGAGAGCTAGCTCATTCTCTGTTTTGCATACCACTGTTTCATTGCAGCAGACCACAGGTTAGACCCATTGGTAACACAACAAAAACATAAATGTTGGTATTCAGGAACAAGACATCCCTTGTATTTCTTCACTGATGGAACCAGGAGTTTCTGTAACTTTTTTCTCCATTTCCATTAATTTGTTGAGTAGTAGACCTCAAAATAGACAAGACAAATGCTGTGTTAATACTCTGTGGTGACCCTACACATCCTGGTTTTGAACATTATTTCTGTTGTTCAAATGCAACTTAATCAAGTTACCAGAAAACCCAAGAGTTCTGACCAAGGATACAGGTTAAAGTCTGCATGCAGTTGAATCTGCATTGTTACTTATGGCATGGCATATCAGTCTTTTGTAGACTATCCTAAACAAGTCCTTCTGTTACACCACCTTCAAAAATGGCATCCACATTCTTATACCTACAAACCGAATTGTTAGTTTTGGAGAGGCAAAACATTTACCGTAGTCTGTGTCAGTTTCCACAGTGCTTACCTTTCTCCCTGATAAAAGTTTCTTTATAGGAGTGTGAACTCTGTATCCAGTAAAACCTACCGTACTCATATGCCCATAGGGTCTCTTTCTACTGTATTACAGAACCTCATGTCTCCTTTTGAGCCACTTGCTACTGTGTGTCTTCATATAATAACAGTTAAACTTGCCTTTCTGATGGTACATAGGTCCTCACAAATCTTATCCACTGCAAACAGATGCATCACACAATACAGTATATTTCATAGAGACAAAGTTGTGTTTTTTTACTAAAGTGATTTCATAGTCAACAGATCTACCTGCACTTTTCTCTGATCCAGCGAGTGCCTTAGACATCTCACTTCACACTGTGAATGTGTGTAGGGCATTGGCATTTTACGTTAGTAGAGCAAGGGACTTTAGGAGGTCACCTAGGTTATTTTTGGATTACTATTTTCCCAAGAAGGAGAACCAGTTTTTAGGCAAAGATTTGCAAAATTTGTAATTTTCATGATCAGTCTCTTATACGAACAGGCTCATCTGCCTCTTACTGGAAACATTTGCACCCATTTCACAGAGTACAGGTAGTTACAGGTAATTGATAAGATAATGATGCAAAAGTTGTGGCCTCTTTCTGTTTGTATTTCTTTAGTTTCTCCACCAATGCCTTCCACCACCAATGCAAGAAGGATGCTACATCACAAAATTTTTAAGATGTGTCCATGAATTTTTGTGGCCCATTGCAGACTAGACATCAAGCAAAGTTGGCTGCATCTTATTTGGCAGTGGTATTGTCTTCCATTTTTTCATGAAATTCCTTCCCTGGTAAGCAAGCTGGATAGTCAGCTGTATGTGTGAGTCACAGAGACCACAAAGAAGTAAGACAGCTCGCTCACTTATAACTATAGTTCTTCAAGTGGTCATTCATGAACTTTCATAAGCCTCCCTCCTCCACTTGGTGCATCACATTTCCTTTTCTTCTGCTGACAGCAGGTTGAAAGAGTCATGAGGGTGGGGAAATGGGTCCCACCAAAAGGCAACAAAATTCTAGATTCTGAATGAGCCTCTGCATACATGTTGAGTTCACAGATTAATTCACAGATGACCACTCAAAGGACTATGCTCATGGGTAAGCAACCCACCTTTTGTAATGTCCAAACCATCTTGCCTATCCAAGCACCTCATAACAGATCTAATAATTAATCCACAAAGTTGATGCCAAACAGGTGATGTTTAGTCCCAGGGACCCTTGTCTGCACTGCTTTTGTGGTGGTTGATGGTCACAGGGTGGCCGGTTGACAACACAAGAGAAGGAATAATATTTTCTTCTGGAAATTACACTTTTAATTTTAATGTCAAAGGCTTTTCATAAACATAATTTTTAATAAAATTAAGAAAATGTAAGATTCAAAAATGCTCATTAAAAACGAAGAACAAAGGGGGAGAGCGGAAGAAAATTAAGCATCTCAGTAGAAAATCCAGAAATTCTGAATCACATTCCTGTGTTCTCGTGCTACTGTACGTTGTCTTGCTACCACATGAATCTCACATAAATTTCAATGTAGTGCTCTCTGTTTTAGCAACTGAAGCAAGTCAAAGAACACCAAGTCCTAACAAGCAAGTCAGAAGGATAATAAAAACAAGGAAATATCTAGAAAAGGAAGACAGGCTCACAGTACGTATACACTTTTAACAGAAAACTTGGTTAGTGTGTGCTGTCAAGTTGGAACTGATTTATAGTGACCCTAATAGGGCTTTCAATGTAAGTGAGATATTTAAGGAGTGCTTTACCAATTCCACTCCCCCAGTGAGTTTCCATGGTTATGGGGAATATGAACCCTGGTCCCCAGAGTCTTAGTCCTTCACTTTGTCCTTTACACCATACTGGGAATCCACTTGTTACATAGTCAGTGGTATTTTGGCTTGCCACACCAGATGGAGACCAGAGACAGTAACACTGGCAGTGGCTATGAAAAAGACGCTGTGCCACACACAGCACAGTATCAGTTGCCTCCTCCACCTGATCTAACATACCAGCGAGCAGCCAGAACATTTGTGGCCTTGCAGGGCTGTTTGGACTAGTAGTCCTACACCTCTAGAGCAGCACAGGTTGCCAATGCATGTCCTAAAAGAAGCCCAGCGGGTAAGAAATCCCATCTCTGGGGTTTTGGGGGCCACAACTGCTAGAAGACACAGGGAATCTTTTGATGTGATATTTGGGACCATGTATCAGCCCTGGGGGCTGTATGTGGCTTACATGTTGCCCACCTCTTCTTTAGCTACAGAAAGTACATTGCAAGATCTCAAGCCTTTAGGATCTACTAAACAGCAATGTTACTGAACAATGGCCAGAATCCTGTTGATGAACTAACTATGCATGCACAAATCCAAGTAGCACCTGTAGTTGTTGCACTACCACCAAAGGGGAAGTGTGATCTATGAAGCACTTCTGCTGACACATTGCAAAATTATGCCAGGATGCACAATCTATGGTTAAACTGCATAGTACAATTTCTTGTTGCCAGGCATAACATCTGGCCCATTGGCACTGGTGTAACTTTACATTATGGAGGCATGAACAGGATTTTGCCCATTGTAATCTGGCCGTTTTTTCATTTGCCTAGAAATTGCAGTTTTAAAGCATAAATGTCTATGTAGTTTGAAATTAACTTTGCCTTCCATATTTTAAAGAAACACTTCATCCTGTGACATGTTTGGACAGAGAATACTTATTACCTGTTTTGGTTTCTGCGTTTTTCTAGATTGAGTCAAGGCAGTTGTTGAAAGAAGTGGGTCCAAAAGGGCAGGGACAGCCTTTATTGATAGAACAACTGATTGATGAGGTAATGTTTCCTCGGCATCTCAGTTGCCTGTGCTATTATTAAAAAGTAAGTAGTGTTTTATTTAATAAATTTCCAAAGAAAATCAAAGTATCAAAATTCAGGGTCAAGAAGCCTTCAGCACGCAGGGCTCTTTAGTCAAGCCCAGAGCCTCACTTCTGACACCCTCCATGTAATTAAAAGCTTCTGAAGTTTCTATTTCTGCCACTAGAGGGTTTTTTAAAAGCCTAATTGGAGACAGACAGACAGACAGACAGACAGACAGACAGACAGACAGACAGACAGACAGATGTTTCTGGTCGGATGAGGCACATGATTATTATTTAAGTTCTCCCAAGGGTCCTGCATCCATTGGACAAGATAGTATGTGGGATTGTTGGCCTGGGATATCCTGTACTGAAATAATTATGGTCCTTCTTCATGTCACATTCTCCCATACACACTAGGGAGCTGACCCCAACTATACCAACAGTGATGAGGAACCTGCTTTAACATTGGCTGTCCTGAATAAACATCATGAAGCTATTCCTGTGCTTGTGCAGAAAGGCGCAGACATTGACCACCAGTCAGGACCGTATGTTAGACATTTTCAAGTTTTCTTCTCTTCTTTGATGTTTTACATTTTGGAGGGAAGTACAACTGGTATACAAAATGGTCTAAATATTGTATGGGGGGAATATATATAATTTCAGTTTGAACAAGCCCATATTGTTTGTGAGACTTTCACTAGTATCTTAGGTAATGAGCTGGTTTCCTTAATCTGACCATGTTGCTCATGCACAGTTCGTATTTATATTATTTTCTTATGGCACAGAAAGTCTCCCCCTCCCCACCCCGCTCATTTTTACATATTTTACTTTCATGATGAAAAAGTTCTGCATGTTGCTTATGCTGAAGCAGCAAAGTTATGCTCAGTGCAGTGGATTTGGGCCAGGAACAATCGAAATTATAATTCCAAACCATTTGGAATTCCATACTGATCTGATATGCAATCACACTCTGTGCCAGGCAGAATAGACAGATTTGGGCTGGGTGGGGAGACATGGAAAAGCACAATGACAGACTGAAGCCAGAAACATAGAGAACAGGGAGTGTGAGGTTTTGCATATCTATGTATTTACATACCCTGTTGATTACAAATAAAAGTTTGAGTTGTCAAAACACTACATTTACTTACAGTATATTTCTGGTGGAGATTTGGACCAAATTAATCTCAAGTCAGCATTTACCATGGTTTTAGTCTTTCATATGTATCTTCTAGGTCAATTTTTCAAAGCTTGTCACATGATATGCACTACTCTGCAATCACAAACATACAATTTCATCATTCCCAAATGAAGGTTTTCAGATAAATGCATCCATTTAACATTGGTGTCTTTGATCTCAAAAAATTTCATGTGTCTTGGTGTTTACCTTTTTTTCTGCTCTCCAGGACCTCCATTATTTTTTTTTCTGTTCCATTAGTTACATGTGCCACAATCCAAAATGGGGTGGACAATCCTAACAGGAAAACATATTTAAATCACAGACTGTTGATTCAGTTTTTTCTAGCTCTCTGTCATTACATTATCTTTTAACTGGCAAGTTACTTCCTTAACATATATTTTGTTCTCTTCAAGAGGAAAATTTGAACATAGAAACAAAGGGAAGTCAGATATGCTAAGCCAAAAGCAGATCCCGTTTTAAATGTTGCAGTTCAGAAACGCCAACATCTGCTGTTTTAGGAAAATAGTTTGTATTCACAACATGGTTATGACCAACCACTTCTGTTTTTCATACCTTACCTGTCCTCCTCTTGACACAGAGAGAACAATACAGCTCTTCATGAAGCAGTCTTGCTGGGCATGGAAGGATGGGAATGCATTGAAGCATTGCTAGGGTAAGTTGATTTAGTGGACTGTTGCTTGGAAGGGGGACTAGGTACCTTCAACATCTGCTTTTTCATAGGGATAAGTCCTCATGTCCATCACTATTATTAGAATAACGAACTCTGGCTCTGGCTTTTCCCATCATTCTAATAAGCAGATCCTTTTCTAAAATGAATATTCTCTCTTTACAGATGTAATGCCGACATTAGAAAGAAAAACACCAGAGGACTGTCAGCTTCTGACTTGGCACTAAAGAGTGGCAATGACAAAATAGTGTCCTTGTTTGCTAGTAAGTTAGGATAAAACTCTCACCATCCAAACTAACTCCTAGTTGATTGTCTAGAACCATTTTTGTTTTGAAGAATTATTTGTAAAATCATGAAACTTTTCCCCTTGATTTGAACACATTCTGAAACCAGTTCTGGGTTAAGGCCATGTTTCAGTGCTGGACCTGCAGATTTTGTCATGGGGGACAAAGAGCTGCACCAGAGCCTTGTCCTTCCTCATTGTGAAGTTCAAGCAATAAATTCTATTTCACCTTTTTTATTTTAACCTTTATTTATGTTGGAATGAAATTGCCCCCTATCAGGATGAGATTCCCACTTTTAATTTTTCATACCCACAATAATGCTTCTAAAAGTCACCCCTTTAGCCACACTATTAATTTTTCTTACCCAGTTTGCAAGGTCCACTATACCCAATAATGAATTAGACTGAAGAATAGTGGATGACCTTGGTTCAAAAACTGACACCTGGTTCTATGGTAGTAGAAAAGACGGTAGAGCTTTTAGAACTGTATTTGACTGCCTTAGTCTGATCTTTCACTGAAGGCTTTTAGCAAAACTCAACCTCAAAAAGTCTGTAGGCCACAGACACACACACTCGTTTGATCTGTCCACTCATATATGTAGGTTAGGATGTTTATACAAACATCAAAACAACATACATGGCTCTCATCTTTTTTCTCGCTTTGTCCTCAAAAAAATCCTGTGGCAGATCAGACTGAGAATGAGTGACGAGCCCCAGGTCACCCAGTGAATTTCATGGCTTGGTATCTTGAAGCACAATGGTATGGAATTATATACAGTGGTGCCTCGCAAGACAAATGCCTCACAGGACAAAAAACTCACAAGACAGATGGTATGGAATTACTGTATATACGGTGGTGCCTCACAAGACAAATGCCTCGCAGGACAAAAAACTCGCAAGACAAATGGTTTTGGCAATGGGGTTGATGACTCGCAAGACAAATGTTTTTCATTTTTTGTTCCTGCCTCATGTTTGCTGATTTTTAAATGTTTTTCTATGTTTAAAAATTAGTTTTTTGATTTAATTTTTTAAAATCATTATGCACAATATGTATGGCTTCAAAGAGCACTGTTTCTATGTTTAAAAATTTAGTTTTTTGATTTTTCGCAAGACAACATTAACCGTGGAACGAATTAAATTCGTCTTGCAAGGCACCACTGTATAGCATTCTTACAAGCAGCCATTTTTGCTTTGGTTCTGACTACCGTCCCAGGACTTCCGTGACTAACTACTTCCTAGCACCACATAGCATCAATTCAGATATTTCATGTATATCCTTGTATGTATTTTGCCGCTGGGATCTTCTAGGAAATGTAAAAGTGAAGATGCACATGAAAGAGGTTCTAATCCTCTCGTCTTAGTAAGTCCTCTTGAAAAATAACTCTAAAAATATCTATGTAAAACATCTTTTTCCAAGCAGGTACCTGTCAAATGTGCTGGACAAAAAGTCCAGTTATCCCTAGCCAAGCATGCTCACTAGTGTGAATACATTGCATAAACTATAGGAATGTGCAGTTCAGTTTTATTTATTGTGATTGCAAAGTGTGGCTTCTTATGTACTTCACAGAATTAATGGAAAAGTAGGAGGAAAGACCGGAGACAGAGTAACATAAGAGCCATATGGAAAAGCATGTCACGCCCTCCTCTCTGTCCTCTTTCTAACCAGCTACTACCTATGTATTTCTAACCTTTTCAAAGTATTTTTAAAGTAATATTTTTAATAAATATTTTATTTTTAAAAAACAAAGTTGTTTGACAGAACAAAACAATCAGGAGACTGTTGTCTTGGGCAATATAAAAATTTTATTCAAAATTTAGTAGGACAATCCTGTCTACACTGATAGTCAATAATATTAGCACAGCTTTATTGGATTCTTATAGACTTACAGCGAGGCAGATGGCAAAACAAGATTCATCAAGACAATGGTCCTTAGCACTGATGTTATTTTTTGCTTTTGTTAATTGGCAATGCATAATTCTGTTAATTAGAGGGGATATTCATATTCATCTCCCGGGGAGATAAATACAAATATCGCCACCACAGGTGGCCAGTCCGATGGACCATCCTCCCAGAACTGGGCCATCCACTTGCTGCTTGCGGTGTGGCATGCACGGCCCACCGTCATTCGTGCCATCCCAACTGCAGAAGTAGCCACATCACATCCAATTGTCTCTGTTAAAGGTGTGACTGTTAATATGTAGTTTCCCAGGACTATGAAATGCGACTGAACATAGAAACAAATATTTAAATTTGGATAGCTGAACTGAATTACTGCAGTAGAGATTGGTACTGTGCTAGAAGAATGTGAATATGTTCTTCACTATGTAAAGCCCTTTCTCCTTTGATGTATATATTCCATTTGAATGATATGTAAGAAGAGAATGTTTCTATCTAATAAAAGTTTCAAGATCTGAAGAAATTATTATAGGCATCCCATAACTTTGAACAAAAACCCTTTCCATTTGTGCAGTAGGTAAGTCTCTGCTTCTCTCTTGGACATCACTCTTGGTAATTCTGCTGCAGTGAAAAACCACAGTTCTCAGAAAAATAGCAAATATCCAATTTATTACCAATATGCCAACAGGGCACCACTGCTCTCTACAACAGCAAGTAGAGAGTTGAATTTTCGTCATGTGACTTGTTTTCTGTGATCCGCCAAGAAAATCTAAATATTATCGCCGCAATCTGAGAAAGAATGCATGCTTGCACTCCTTACTATCCAAGGGGTAGTATTTGTCATAGAAATCTAAGATGTACTCTTCAGTTTTAAATCCAAACTTTTGGTACAGCAACATTGCCGAATTACTTGCAGAGACATGAAGGGTTGCATCTTTGCCCATGCAGGTCTGTCAAAAGAAAATAAAAAGTAGTATGATAGTTAAGGAAAGAAATTGCTAAGTAAGGAAGGAATAATGGGGTTGAAAGGTCAGCTCAAACAAAAGCTCATGTGTATCTTGCTGCTTCAGTAAGGTGGGAAATGGGCATCATGAATCTCACACACAACACAAGTACTGTATGTTCTGATCCCAAATAATCATGAAGCAAGAGAAAGAAATATTAAGGTATTCATGCTGCTTCCTTGTAGTGTGAACTGAGTCTAAGTAGATCACTGCCTTTAAAGGGGGAATTAAAAGCAATTTAATCAAATTTTGGGAATCAAACATTATGACAAGCAAGTAAGCATTTTATATAGTTTATTCACTAGCGTGAACAGGTGGAGCTACTAGATCTCACACTGGGCTTGGCAAAATGCACTGTACACCCATCCTCCTCCAGAGCTCATTTTTTCTGGAAACTTACTGCTACCTCCAACTATCTATCCACAACACTGCTTCTCTCTTTAAGAAGCAGTTGCATGGCAACAGCTGCTCAAACTGAGTGGTGGAGCTAGCTGGACAGGAGTTTAATGAAGCAGTGATATGACTGCTACTTTGCAATGGTATCTTTAAAAGAGGGGGGGAAAGAAAAAGGAATCTCTTTCCCAAGGCTTCATATACACAAGGTGAAGGCAACTGCCAGGGCCAACCCGGTTGCACTCTCTCCCCTCCACAGTTTATCAGATGGAAATAGAAAGAGCTTCTTTTTCTACTTCTTTTTAAAATCTAGTTAGTGTTACATCTGGTTGATGAAGCACTGCAGCAAATTCATGGCTACACAGAGAATGTACTTTGTGTGAAGAGTTAGTGTTACATCTGGTTGATGAAGCAGTGCAGCAAATTTGGATACTGCGTGGCTACACAGAGAATGTACTTTGTGTGAACCATCCTGACAAAATTTAGTGAAATGAAAGGTCTGCCAACTTTACAGTAACATGGTCAAGAGATTTACTATCACTAAATTGTTTTATTTAATACTTTGAAAAAGCCAAAAAAGGAGATTGCTGCTTTCAGTATTGACCTATTATTTGTTCCACTTTACCTTCAGGTGAAAACGTGTCTCTTAGCTAGATATTTGTAAGAATACCAAAAGCACTTTTCAATCTTTCCCAGGTCACCCTAAACCAGAAATGACTTGAGACACATAACAAACCATACTGGACTTGAACCAGCAATCTAGTTTTCACACTACTTCTGCCACTGTTGGTACCTTGTGAATTCAGCTTTCCAACACTGATTTATTTGTAGCTCCATGTCCAACTTCCTATGGGTTGTATATTTACTACACCTGCAGTGCATAGTCTTCTAGATTTTTTAACAAATTAATTCTCAACAATCCTGTTAGTTACATATTCAGTACAGGGGCAGCATGCAAGCAAGCAAGAGAAAGCCAAAGGCCCAAATCCTCTTGCTTAATATAATACACTGCATTATGAGCAGGCTCACTGAATCAATGAAGATTAAGTCAATCAATTCCTTCATATATTCCATTGATTCAAATGGGTCTACTATAATTATAACTTACTATGCTAAAGTAAACCACTGTTAGAGTAGCCCCATTTGAATCAATGCAACTTATAAAGGACTTGACTCATGAAATCCCCACTGATTCAATGGGCCTATCGCAAAGCAATAGGATTTTGACCATTGAAAGACAAATATGGTACAATCACTGCACAGGCTACATATGTAAGAACCTGTTCACCTACATATATTTTTACAGAAACATAAGCTAAAGAAAATTTTGCCACTATACACTGATACAATCACAGAGTGATTGGATATGTCTACTCCCACTGACTTCTGTGGGCCATGTTCCATAGCAAGTGTGCATAGAAGTGAGCGTGGTCATGCTTTTCTCAATTTCTGTATTGCAAAAAACCTCAGCGCTGAGGGGTGTGTGCAATCAAGCCATTATAGAGGAAACAACTAACAGCCAATAAGCCACACAAATGATATAAACAGACTTGATTACATTTGCCATATTTTCATTTGAACTTAAAGAAAATGTACAGGTCGTATTTCTTAAAAGAAAACACTTTTCAGGTTACCTGAATAAGATGGTAAATCATGAAAGTTGCAATCCCTGATCGTCTCCATTCAGGATGAACAAATAGAAAAGAGATGTATGCTTCATTGTATTTAACATCTGGCACCATGAAACCAAAAGCAATTATGACTTTTTTATAAAGGACAACAACACTGAAGTCTGGATACTGTAGGCATTCCGAAAGGTCAATTCCTGTAGAATGAGAGGAGGAGTCTCATGATCAATCACAATGATGGAAAAACAATATTAATTATTATATGCTCAAAAATATCCCAGATCAATGCAGAATCTGAGCTTGTGCCAACCTCTGAAGAGTGATTCTCCAAGGGAGGTTCACAATGCTGCTCACTCAGCCTTAAATCAACCATGGGGTAGCTGGGAATTTCTTAAGACACCTCTTTTAGAGCTGTGTTCGTTTCTTCTTCATCATATTTCTTATGATATCTAAATACCCTTTCTATTTTTAAGAAGTAAACACTTGGAATGGACTGCTGAACTACAGAACAAAGAACATCAAAGAGTATTTGTAAAGAACTCAGTTCTGTCTAAAATAAATTATCCAAGGCACAAGCTTTATATATGCACATATATACTGTATTATAAACAAAGATGTGTAAAACAACTCAAACAAATTGTCTGTTTCTTCTTTAAAAGCAACTTCACAATGGTTTGCCCATGAAGTCTCATGGTGCTTAATGCTGCCCACAACTATTTTTTTAGGAAACTGTTCCTACCCACACACTTGCTTCCCCGACTCCCTCCACAAAGTTCAACATGCATGTCCACCCTCACTTTGAACCAGAGTAGATTCAAACAAATGGAAAATTTCAAGTAAAGAAGCTGTGGATTTCACCACACACACATTTCCAAAGTGAGCCCCTTCAAAACCTGTTATTCAAAAATCAAAAATAAAGTTTATATAGACAAGCCATTCTCAGCCTCTTTTTTTGGACACAGTCATAAACAAAGAAATATACAAGCTGAATCAGTATTGTATAAACCACATAACAAACCTTATAAGGTGGTGTATGAAGAATTATTTCAAGTCTGTGCCCCCCCCAACGTTCCAGAACCCTACCATTGAGAACAGTGGACCTAGGCCATCAGAAAAATCCTACCTGGCCAAAAGAACTCATGGCACATGGAGTTAATAGTGGGGATGTGATTAGGCCGCACATAGCAATAATCAATGGGTGCCTCTGGCTCAGCGATCCAGTTAGGATCATTCTTGTGCACATGGGCTCGAATCTCACTCAGCAGTCGCAGTTTGGGAGGCTTGGTCTCATAATCACGCCTGGAGGGAAAACAAACAAATGTCAGAAAATAACAGCAATCAGACTAGGTCAGGTCTGAAATAGGGAACAGAGGACATGATCCGAGTAGAGAAAGGCTCCAGTCGCAAATGGTACAATGATTTCCACTGGCCACTTGGATCATGAGCAGCCAACACCTGTAATTAATATATGAAGGGATGTCAGATCTTATACGGCACCAGAATCACCGAGAACTGATCACAAAATGTCAGTTTAGAATAGGGGTCCCCAGCCCTTTTCACCCCGCGGACCAGCTGGGGAAGGCAGGGCACCCCCCAAGCTCATGGGCATGTGCGAACGAGTGAGTGCAAATGAGTGTGCATGCACAAACGGTGGTGCAGTGCTTATGCACACTCGCTCACTTGTGCGCATGCACAAACGACACGGCACTCACTGTGTGCATATGCTTGTGCACATGCACAAACTGGTGTGGCGCTCGCACGGGCATGCACAGCATGCGCAAATCATGTGCGGGGGTGAGTGCGTGCACAGGGGGGCGGGAAGACTGTCTTCATGGCCCAGTTTGGCTCAGGCCACAGACCAGCACGGGGCCGCAGACCAGGGGTTGGGAATCTCTGCCTATGGATAGAGGGCCCTACTGTATGTCACAAAGATGTGAGCCTTGGAGGCATCCAGTTTTTCATTGTGACATAGTGAAGCACAGCCACTTCCTGGCACTGCAACTCATTTTCCGAGACCTGGCAAGCCTCATCTTCATCATCAACACCATGAGCACTCCATGGACAGCTCCCTGCAGAGTACAAGTGGTTAGAAAATATGCCACTTTAAGTCCAAACTCTCACGCCAGTGCCACAACTGAGGAAAGGAAATGGGCAATAATTTGGAGATGACCGTACATTAAAACTGATGTGGATCCATGCCTTGGATAGACTGCAAAAATACACTGGTACTGCAAAATCTGGCATAGTGAATTCTGCTGGTAAAGAATCTGCAAAGCAGGAGAGCTGACTGCATTGTCATAGTTTCTAGAACCAGGCAGCGTTTGTTTGTTTTTTTAAAGGGATGGCACCATTGTTTATCTGCAATTTCTATTGATTTTATTCTGTAGATTAGTCATCACTTCCAGCTGCATTCTGTGGCTGATTCCCTTCAACACTTACAGCCTGGTCTCAGTTAAGCCCTCAACTGAACCACTACAACAATACATAGCATGGTCTCTGGCTCCCTGTCGTGGCCAGTTCAGGTGAATACATTGTGAAAATACTTATTTCTAGTGGGTTTTTTCCTTTCAATTGTTCTCAAAATTTCAGACCATAGATAAGTGAAAACATGGATACTCATCCATCAGATACTGGGATCCTACTGTATGCCCAGCCTGAGAGAAACGGATGTCTACCCAACTGTCTGCAGTACTTTTGCAGTAATGTGTTCAATGCTGAAAGGGAGACAGAAAGGGAGTATTTTCTATTTAAAGACATTTTAATTGAAATCCTATTGGCACTTGCATAAGATTTGAGTAACTTGCCATGGCTACCTGCAGCTGATTGAAGAAGTGCTGGGGTACATTATGATTGAATGAATCAGGCACATGACCAGGCATGTGACCCAGACACTCCTTGACACCTTTCAGTTAGCCAGGGCAAGTTACTCAAACCTTATGCCAACACCAGCATGCAAGCACCAATAGTTAAATTTATTGCCTGGAATCCATAACCTAATGCAACCTAAGGCCAATGATGGCACCAGCAATGGAGAACGTGACAGGAGCAACTCAGTTCAGAAGCTGGCAGCAAGTCCAGCATGCAGGAAGTTGCAGGTTCAGTCCCTGACAGCCACATTTAAAAAGCTGCTGGAAAAAGGAGTTTGCAGGAACAAATACCCCACTAAAAACAGTAAACAAAATCAATACCAAAAACACGTTCAAAGCAATAAGTCACAACAGTCCATTCAAAATCCCAACCTAGTCAGTCAGTCAATAAGGGAAAGCTTGCCTGAAGAGAAAGGTCTTTGCCTGCTTATGAAAGGAGAGCAAAGATGGGGCAAGTCTGGCTTCCAGTGGGAGGGAGTTCCAAAGGCTGGGGGGCATTTTGAAACATGGCTGCATGTTTGGTAGTGCAGGGATGGTGTTAAAATATTTCAATGTTTCAAAATGTTTCAAACACTTAGGTCTTTTTAAAATTGGTTCCTTATGCTATCTTTTTCATTTCAAGGACAAGAAAAAATGTCCACAAAGAGGCAGGAAGAGAGAGAGAGAGAGAGAGAGAGACCCAAAAGGGTCAAAGGCTGCATTGTGTTACTGTGCCCATCCTTACTCAATTATTACTTTCATTTTTCCCCTAGCTCATTGGTTAGGAAAGTTCCTTTTCGTGTAGATGCTGGAAGATAACTTTTTGGAGCGCCAGCCTAGAATTCTGTCAGTAGGTCAACATGGGGAGATTTAACAATCAAAGGGATTGGTGACAGGGGATACATTTATAGGCCACTAATAAAAATATATACTGTATTTAAAAATCATATAAAATACAAGCTTCTGTGGGTAAATCACATGATAAGCGGGATTGTTGACATCATCTTCAGGACAGCCAATCCCGAGGGTGCTGCTGCTGCCTTGGGAACGCAACCCCATTCCCCTGGGTCTTTGTGACCTCACAGGGGCCCCACCTCTCTGCTGGCAGATAAAAGGGGCTTGCTAGGCGGGGCAGGAGACCAGAGGGGAGGCCAGTGGCCAGAGGGCAGCCCAGCAGAGAGAGTGGCTGCTGCAGGGGACCCAGCCCTTCTGCCCAAGGCAAGTTCTGAACTTACTAAGTGGGCTTGCGAGTTAACAGCTTGAGGCTAGTGGAGATCCGTGGCTTGAAGCAATGGACCAGGGGGAAGTCAGTGGACGTTGGCAGACAGGAGCTGGTGGAATCTGCCTGTGGAAGCTGGCTGAGACCGCAAGGTGGAGGCCGGCAGAGGTTGGCGGATGAAGCCAGTGGAAGTTAGCCTCCTGAAACCAGCTCACGGAAGCTGTGTGGATATTGGTGGATGGAAGCCTGGGCATGTGTTGAAGGGGGAGTGAATGTGTGTGTGTGTCGGGGGGCTGGATGTTGTGTGCATGTGTGTGAATGTGTGTGTGAATGGGCTGGCTGGCGTTCCATAGGATGTCGCTGGGGTGTGTGTGTATTCCAAGCATTCGGGAGCTAGCAGAGGCTGGCTTCAGAAGCAGAGTGGAAGAGATAAACGGGTGGATATTCCTGGTGGAAACCAGTGGATGTTGGCAGGCAGAACTTTGGGATGAAGTTGCCAGAACATTGGTAAGTGGATACGCCTGGGTTGAAGCCGGTTGATGGTAGTGGACGAGCTCGCCCCTTAGTTGTTTTTCTCTCTCTTTCTCTTGCAAGGCCAGAAGCTTCCTCTTCCCCAGGGTCCCCGAGGGACCAGAAGGCAGGCACCCCTGCTGGAGCTGAGCCGGGCTGTCTCCACTGAGGACAGGGATACCCATTTAGACTCTTTTCAAAAACCAATAGAAGTATTTTTCTGGAATGGTTTTGAAGTGTTGTCTTGGTTGTCAGGGGCTTTCATGGGAGCATCTTCCCCATCCCCTTATTATATCTGGAGCCCAATGCCATGAGATGGGTCTCCATGAGGTCATGGTGTGGGGCCTTGTGATGCCACAACCAGCAGGAGCCTCTTCAACAATGGGAACATAATGTGTCTGCAGGCGTGAAGGAGTGGGAGAGGCACCTTTGGTCCCCTATACCAGTGGTTCCCAACCTTGGGCCTCCAGATGTTCTTGGACTACAATTCCCAGAAGCCTTCACCACCACCTCTGCTGGCCCGGATTTCTGGGAGTTGAAGTCCAAGAACATCTGGAGGCCCAAGGTTGGGGACCACTGCCCTATACGACTTCCTAAATATATTATGTGTCCAACACAGGAAGCCAGTGAGCCCTGGCGCCATTCAGAGAGGGTTGGATTTGTGTACCCAAACACTATGACCATCCCATAACAATAAACGAGACTCGTTTCTTCCCTTCCACCAAACATTTGTCTGCCTGGCCTGGAGATTCAGGGAAGCACAGCCACTTCCTGGCACTACAGCTCATTCTCTGAGACCTGGCAAGCCTCATCTTCATCATCAGTGGTTCAGGTGTCCATGAAAGTAGCAAATGTAACTATCATTGTGGCATAGTGAATTCTGCTGGTAAAGAATCCGCAAAGCAGGATAAACATTGGAGGTCCACCCATGGACCCATACAGGATAAACATTGGAGGTGACCCAGTCTTCTTCTCCACTCAGCTGTCATTATTCTTTTTCCCCTCTTCTAGAACGCCCAACAATTCCCCTTTCTCCTCTGTTTCTTTTCTCTCCCAACCCGTTTTTTCCCTTGCAGGTCTATTCTGGGGCTAATTCAGACTTTCACTCTGCTCACTCTTCTCCCACAATGCAAGGCGTTTTCTCTCTTTCAATATTTTGAAGAGTTCTGTTGTAGTCCTGTTCAAGATGGTGATTTCTACTTCCCTGAGGATGATCAGGAGACAGGAAATGAAGCCCTATGAGGAAATACTGAAAAAGCTGGACATGTTTAGCCTTGAGTAAAGAGGATAGAGGGGAAATGTGATAGAACTTTTCAAATACTTGAAAATCAGTCATGCAGAGGAGAGGCATGATGTTGATCATCCCAGACTCCAGGACACGTAATCATAGGCTCAAACTACAGGAAGCCACATTTAGGCTGAATATAAAGAAAAACTTCTTAACTGTTAGAGCAGTACAACAATGGAACCAATTAACTTGACAGGTGGTGAGTGCTCCTATATTGGAGGCATTCAAGAGAAAATTGGACAACCGTCTGTCAGATCTGCTTTGATTTGGATTACATTATTGAGCAGGGGGTTAGACCCCATGGTCTTATACACTCCTTCCAACTCAAATTATTTTATGATTCTATGAATTCCACAATCACATGCATCATGTTTTGAGGTGACAGGGAGTACATCATTAATGTTTTACTCCAGAGGTGTTAACTCTGAATATGCCTATACAGTGGTGCCTCGCTTAACGATGTTAACTGGTTCCATAAAAATTCGTTATGTGAAAACATTGTTAAGTGAAACACCATTTCCCATAGGAATGCACTGAAAACCGGTTAATCCATTCCAATTGGAACGGATTAATGCTTGCAATCGTTAGTCCACCTTGTGTAATGTATGCAGACTTAATTTGGTCCAATGCTTTTCAATGAGAGAGAAAAAAAATCACCAAAAATTAACGAAGACTCAGAACAACACCAAATTAAGTCTGCATACATTACACAAGGTGGATTAACGATTGCAAGCATTAATCCGTTCCAATTGGAACGGATTAAAGGATAGCACTTTTCAGATACAGTGGTGCCTCGCTTAATGATGTTAATTGGTTCCATAAAAAAATCGTTATGTGAAAACATCGTTAAGTAAAACACCATTTCCCATAGGAATGCATTGAAAACCGGTTAATGCTTGCAATCGTTAGTCCACCTTGTGTAATGTATGCAGACTTAATTTGGTGTTGTTCTGAGTCTTCGTTAATTTTTGGTGATTTTTTGTTTTTTCCCTCATTGAACTCCATGCATTTCAATGAGAGAAAAAACAAAAAATCACCAAAAATTAACGACGACTCAGAACAACACCAAATTAAGTTTGCATAGGTTTCAGGAGGAGGGCTAACGATTGCAAGCATTTAAAACAGGCTTCAAACAGTTTAAGACACTTTTACAGGAGCGAAAACAGACATCGTTGAGTGAAAATCCCCCATAGAGAACATCGTTAAACGATGGGGGAAATTCCTCAAAGAAACCCATCGGTAAGCGAATTCTTCGTTAAGTGAGGCAATTGTTAAGTGAGGCACCACTGTATTATTATTATATTGGGAGGCTTTGGGGGATTTCAGCTCCTTATAGTGTATTCTCCTACTTGTGTGAGCAGGTTTGTGAGCTCAGCTGGCTGTGACTTGATATCAGCATTTTGGTAAGGAAGCAATTTTGTATGGGTATGCATAACACACAATAGAAGTAAAGTTTCTGAATCAGAAAGCATAGTAAGACCCCCATATATGCAGGGGAATGGTTACAAGCCCCCCTCGCAGATGTTGAAAACTCTGGATAATCGTGAACACTATACCTAGCATGGTCAAAAAATAAAATCCAAGAATATGTATTTTCACCTGCATCACCAGAACTGGTCAACCGAGGGACTCAGAGACCATGCTATGTACTCTTCAACAATGGTCGTGAATGACTTCCATCAAGGTTAAGTAAATGGTCAAGAGACCTCCAGAAGGTTTCACAAAGCAGTTCCAAAACAATAGCATCAAAAAAAAAAGTTGCTTCCTGCACTGATTTTGCACAGGAGCCAAACCTATTTGGATCATAAAACCAATCCCCTAGAAGACTATCCATTCCTCGATGTACCCCTGAGTTAGACATTGCAACATTTATCTGAATAAAAATATTCAGACACAGAACAGGAATTTAAACTTAAAATGCCAAATGTATAAAAATATGGGACCAAACTACCATTTTACTCTGAGGAACACTGATACTGAGAGCTAAGTGTATCGCTCAGCTGGAATTAAATGATCAAATCCACAGCAGAAAAATGTGTCCATTTCACAGTTCATATACAACACCTACATGTTGCCAGCATTTATATTTACAGTGGTGCCTCACTTAACGACTGCTTCGTACAACGAAAAATTCACTTAACGATGGCTTTTTCGGAGCAATCTTGTGCTTCACTTAACGATTTTCCCTATGGGCGATTTTCGCTTAACGATTTCGGGACCATGCTTCGCTTAACGATGACAGTTTTAGGTCCCCTTGTTTCGCTTAATGTTTTTTTTACAGCCCCGTTTTTGCTATTTTTAAAATATTCTAAAATGTTTAAAAAATGTTTAAAATGCTTGGAATCATCAGTGCACCTAATAAAACCTTCATTAACTTAATTTGGCTTTGTTCTGAGTCTTTTTGAATTTTTTGTGAATTTTCCCCCCCATTGAAATAGGCTTCAATGCATTTCAATGGGTTTCGCTTAACATTTTTTCCTATGGGGATTTTCGCTTAAGGATGGTAATCCGTTCCAATTGGAACGGATTATCTGGTTTTCAATGCATCTCTATGGGAAATGGTGTTTCGCTTAACGATGTTTTCACATAGCGATAGTTTTTCTGGAACCAATTAAAATCGTTAAGCGAGGCACCACTGTATTTATAACCCTGCTAGATAAATATTTTAGTATGGCCTGATCTCTGGTACTTTATATCCTGACCTGGAAATGCAGCCTTATAAATAATTTTGCAGCATGAATGTTGTTGTTTCTTTGTTTTTAAAGGAGAAAAAAACTTAGTGGGTTTTTTTCAACACAGCAACTTCTCAACTCAGAATGGGTTAAATCTTCCTGAAACTTTGGAGAGAAAACTTAGGGAAACAAATATTCCCTAGCATTTTCTAAAATGTTTATTCCTCACTTCTTCGTGACCTGATGTCTAAATTGTGACTGAGAGGAATAAAAGACAAGTTTTCATAGCTCTACTAATGGATATTTGTTACCTCCAAAATGGAAAAGGTCTGAAAGGTTTCCTGATGGCCCTTGTAATACAAGTACTCAAAGAGAAAATGGAAGCAAATAATGTTTCTCCTTTCTTTCTTTTTTGGTCTATATGCAGTAGAAGGAATGCTACAGTAGGTGCCCACCTGTCTCCCCATGGCTAAGGATTCATTTGGTGGGAAAATCACTTCTGGCAATTTCAGTTCTTCAGTACCTTCTTAAATAGGTAACAATGGCCTATTGAATGGTTCTTATGGTTGAACCAATAAAGAGTGTGTTTTATGTACTTAATGGGGCCTGCATCTGCCTATGTTTCTGCTCAATAGATAGTCCTCCTACACAGTAACCTGGGATAGCACTGCTTGTACAATCACTGTCTTCGTGGGAGAGTGAGTTTTTTCATGGACATTTTTGTGTCAAGTGAAATGCTTGCTGAAGTGGCACAAATATACAGGTACAACTTTATGCTCATTGGAAATTCAATAAACACTGCCTGAATTTACCTCTCACTTTTCAGGTTCAAGGCAAGTACTTAAAACTGTGAGTAATGGAAATGTTCTATAGTTCTCAATAATCATAATCATGATGCTTCTCTGCCAAGATAGATTAACAAAGGCCTGAAGTAAAGAAAGCAAAAGAATGATATACAGTGGTGCCTCGCTTAGCAATATTAATCCGTGCAGAAAAAATCGCTGCTAAGTGATAACATCGCTAAGCGATATTAAAAAGCCCATAAAAACGCATTGAAACCCCTTCAATGCGTTCCTATGGGCTTACAACTCACCTTTAAGCGAAGATCCTCCATAGCGCCGCCATTTTCGCTGCCTCTAAAGCGAGGAATCCGTCCCTAAACACAGCGGGCGGCCATTTTGTTTACCCGGCAGCCATTTTGAAACCGCCGATCAGCTAAAAATGGGCACTTTGTGATGATCGCTTCCCTGCTATCATCGCAAAGCGAAATTTCCCCATAGGGACCATCGCAAAGCGATTGCAAAAACATTGTTGCAAAGCGATTTCTTCGCTAAACGGAGCAATCGCTATACGAGGCACCACTGTAGTCCCAAAGCAGAACAGCTTAGTAATCTGCACCTGATATAAGGCTTCAAGACACGTGATGTGTAAGGACTGATGATGCTGTGGTCAGTCAAAGCGTCTTCTGAGCCCACAAGTCGGTAGAGAAATTTTGTTGCTGTTTGCTGAAATCCCTTCACAGCAGATGGTTTAGTCTGTAAAATCAGATGGGAGGGGAGACAAATTAAAGATACAGACAAATGCTGAAACAAACAGGTATCAAAATCTTCCTTGCTACTTGACAAGAAGATAGAAATAGCATGTTTACCAAAGAGTTACATACAAGCTGGTTACATAATGTCTGGTAAATGGCAAACCTATACCCAAAACCAGGTTGCTCACATTTTTAAACTGAATTTTAGGGAAGCAGATGATGCATTGCCTAGTGCCCTACAGAATTATATTTTGACACCCTAACAGAAACTGGAGCATTGGACTGGTGAAAGTTCATCCTCTTCAGTGAATGTAATTTATCTTCAAATTGGTTACTCACCCTACTTGCCTTGGGAGAGGGGGGAACCTTATGAAAATATCTTTATGCTAGGTTTCTTTCAGTGACAAAAGCCTCCTTGTTTCATTTCATAATTCACTGAACAAATCACCAACCTCTTTAACCATTAAAAACAAACAAAAAAACCCAAGCAAACACACTGAAAACAAGAAACAAACAAGACATTTTCAGGTCTCAGCTACTGATTCTAGGAGAGGCATTTTCAGGTCTCCAAAGGGAAAAAAAAGCTTGGGATGAGGGGGCAAGAGAGCAGAAGGAAGGAGAACACAGGGCTGCTATGGAGTCTAGGTGGGGAAAACAGGGAGGGGAGAAATAGACAAGGGAGGAAGATCGGGGGGGCAGTGACATGGGAGGAGCACCATTTTTAGAAGGTCTAGAGAGTTTCTATCCCTTTTGCTCACTGTCTCCACCCACAGCATGGAAGCTACTAGAAGAACAATGGCATGTGGCAACATTCACCTGATACCGATCCAAGATTCGGAAGTCCTGGCTAGTAGTTTTGTATGTTGTGTAGCCTACTGGGAGACAAGCGGCACTTCCATCCTTGGTTCCATAAATCCTATCAATCAGGAGCAGAGCTGCATTCACAATATTGTCCAAGTCAAAGAGGGGCAGACCTCGCTCTCGCTTCGCCTGTCGAACTAACAACTTACGCCTCAGCCTCCGAGCCTCTGGGGTCATGGCTGTGGCATTCGGACAGGCCTCCAGGTTTTTCAGAAGCAGCTTTTCTTCATAGATACTGACAGGTGCATATTTGGGCACATTGACCTTAGGGTCCTTATGGTTCGGGTGAGTCTTCCGCTTGTCATGACAGGTTCTATGGACATTATTCTCAGAATCCCGCTCCATCCTCTCTCCTTTTTCTTCCTCACTTTCCAACTCTTGCTTTATCTGCTCAGGCATCTTTGCTTTCTTTCTGAGCATTCCCACTGATGCACTAGGTGGCGGAATATACTCCATTCCTGGGTCTATAACACCATCCCCTTCCATCTCTTCATCATCTATAAAAAGTATTACAGACATACTGGTAAGCAATGCAGTCAGGTGCTCTTCCAAAAGACTACACATTTAATATGAAAGGATATACAACAATCCCAAGTGGGGAATGTGGCCTTAACGTGAAAAACTACACAGCAATGTCCCTATGATATTCAGTTTGGCATTGCCCTTTACAACGTGAACTAGGAATTGTCAGTTTCTCTACTCCCATCTGTTACTTTGAACAGGCTTCAAATATCCACTTGGGAAAGATAAGCAAATCCAGAATTACTCTGAATAAGGTACTTAATCCAAGGATGAAGGTGGGCAGCACAACTGTATTTGAAACTGTATGGACTAGATGGAAAGAGACAGTATTCCAAGCAGAGTCACACCATAGATGCATAAAGGTGTGGCATGATGTGGGCAGTTTTATATATAAACACCAGAGGAAAAGCTGAGCGTGGGGATATAAAGATGCCTTTGACTGATTGAGAGAGGAAATTAAATGCCTTGGCTATCGTTCTGCGTTTCCAATCCTAGTTTTCAGCACTTCACATACTGATTTCAGAACCTGGACTCTATCACCAGCATTTTGAATTCCTGTTTTTTCATGGAACTGCAAAACTCCAGGAAAAAAAAACACAGCAAGGGATTTTTCTGTCAGCTGAACTGATTTTGTACCACCGATGGCTAGTAAATGGATCATAGTAGACAAAGATGCCTACATTTGTCCACTGAGAGGTAGCAGAAATGAATAGCCTGCACTGGGATGAAACACAATTCGAGCGACAGCCAGTTATCAGCCTCCAGTACCTGCACATCTATCCAAGGTTTTAAGCTCCTGCCAAGTCAAATTACTACAAGGAACATGAAGGATGTGGGCATGTTCTAGCAAATGCCTATTGGCATTATGTTGGGGAGGATGAATGTCTTGATGACCCCAGGAGAAATCATTTGGTTGTCTCCCTCCCGCTTGGGAAGGGCAAGCAGGAATTTATTTTCATTTCCACCAGCACTGAAAGGGCTCAAATAAGACAGACCGTGTAGACTTAAAACAGAGCTCTTCTTGCCCCTACTAAATTGGCAGAGACCATTCTGATGCGTAGGGAAAGTGACACGGGAAAGGAATCATTATTTTCATCTCCTTGGTAAGTCAAAGATTCCCTTTCTTTCTTGGGCACCAGAGTTAATACTTTGGCCAGCTCATGAGAAGAGAAGACTCCCTGGAAAAGACCCTGATGTTGGGAAAGTATGAAGGCAAGAGGAGAAGGGGACGACAGAGGACGAGATGGTTGGACAGTGTCATCGAAGCTACCCACATGAAATTGACCAAACTCCAGGAGGCAGTGGAAGACAGGAGGACCTGGCGTGCTCTGGTCCATGGGGTCACGAAGAGTCAGACATGACTTGACTACACAACAACAACAAGTGAAATCTACTACAAGGATATCTGGGCTGTTAATGACATCAAGACAACTTATACACGTGATGTTCTAGTCAGTTTATTTGATCACTGTCCACCTAGATCATTTCCATTTATCCTCATGAAAGAAACTAGGAGGAAATAGTGTTATTGGATTGATGTCCCAGAGAACAGCATTAAAATATTGCCTCGAAATGGTAATTCAGTGTCCTGGAAGCAGGCAATGGTGCCTTAGCGGTAGCACTCTTAACAGAAATGGCTAGTATAGACCCGTGTTTTCTATGTATATAGTTTTTATTTGCTATTTTATAATATAGTTGTATATGCTGGTCTGTGACCAAAACAAAATATTTTAAAGGGAGGAAGGAAGGAAGAAATGGTTGGTATGACTAGGAAGTTGCCCAATGTTCAAAGGTTCAGCTGGGGGAGACAAGGATATCCCAGACAGCTCTACATTTGAGATCACATATGTAGAACTCACATGTGTCCCCAAACTTCTCTTTCACTCTTCCTAACTAAAGTGTCACTGGAAACAAGAAATGATACTTGGGCTCATGAAAAACATAGTATCCCTCTTTTCGGGGTTGTTGGGGACCAGGACTCTTTGTGAAAATACAAGTAGATCCACAAGGGGAGGGACAAAGCAAACCTGATCTCTCCCCAAAGAGTAAGTCTTCAAGGCTTGAAGAGGACAGACAGAATTTCTGGAAACTGAGAAGAGGTATAGCTTAAGGTATCTCTATTCCTCTACTCTCTGAAAGACTGGCTAGTATGGTAGGTGCACCTTAGATCATTCTTATAGCTCTACCCATCAATCACTTTGGGGCTAGAGAGAAAAGAGGTGAGATGTGAACATTTGGGATTTCTACTCAGCACTTCATTTTTATGTAGCCTCAATACTGGGAGGTTACATCTGAAGGGCTCTTTCAGATATATTTATTTATATATTTAAAAAAATTTTACCCCATGTTTCTCCTTAAAAGGACCAAGGACAGCCTCTCTTAGGAGGTAAAAATTCATCGTATTTCTCTCTGTTATGCATTGGGTTTCCTCCCCATTCAAACCTCCAGTGATATCTGCACATACTAACAGCCCTTTCAGAGGGAAGAGCTAGTGGGAACTGAAATAACGATACTGGTATTGTATTGCCGAACTGGTTTTAGAGTACTCCTTCCCATGGTTATCTTCCAAACAGGTTATGAGAATTAGGGAAGGGAAAAAGGAAAAGGCAAAAAAGGAAGAAATTTAACGGTCACAATCCTATTGCTTAATTACTCTGCTCTTGCTTGAGTTGATGCACAATGAGAGATACCAGCAGAAACATGTTAATTGGCAGCAACTGACCACTGAGATTTATGCCTCTGCAGTTACTCCAGCATAACTAATCAATAGCAATCTGGTAATTAGTGACTAAAATCCTGTACCTTAGCATGGTAAATCATAACTATAAAGCAGGCCCATTGGAATCAATGGAAACCACTGAGTAATAAACACCCCCATAGAACACAAAATACTAATATACTGTTAGCATACACAGTGAGACAACACTTCTCAGTACTGAAAAACAGCTCTAGTTCTCATCTGAGCCAATGAAATCTATCACTGCAACACTGAACATATTCTGGGAAAGACTACTAAGGTCTGGAAAGAAATTACCACTGTCTAATGTTGTTATTGCCTGAAAAAGTACCATACCACCACTGTTTTGGAAATGCACCGTAGTAAGGAAAGATCTATGCATACTTTTAGAGGAGTAAATTGTGAGTGGCAACATTTCATTAGTCATCCAATATGAAGATTACCATGGATGACATATCACTTGATAGCATGCACTGTTTCTACACCCACGTTCTTACAGGAGTTAACAATATAGACAACATGACTCACAGGTGCATATATACTTATTATTAACCACATTTTCCCAGGTTGTGCAGTGTTTCAAACAACTATAAATAAGCATAATCAAGCTTAACAGTGTATGCATTTCTCTTAGGTCCAGTCATCACTAATAGCATATCTATAGTTAAGAAATGGTTTCGCAAGTGAGATCTAATCAAGCAACAGTAGACAAAGTGCAGTCTCAGAGTTGAATACTGTCCCTGGCACCCAAGTGCCCCAGCAGCTTAGAACAGCCGAGCGACCAAAAACTGGTGCAACTGCTCTCTGCAGCCAGTAGGTAGCACAAGTTCGGGCGGGGGGGGTTTTTTTTTTTTTTTTAAGTGCTGGGGCCCTTTATGTTCCAGGGATGTGCTTGTGTGGCTATTTGGAAAGTGACCCTCCCCTTTAACAGAAATTTATAAAAAAAGGAAATATTAAGGTAGTTTTTACCATGAAACAAGGCCTGGGGTGGCATTATATCTGGAATGAGATCTGCTTCTGAGAGAAGGCTGGGTGTGGCTGAATGTGAAGCTGGTGTCCCAGGAGCAGAGAAATCCGGAGAAGGAGATGGAGACGGGCTTGTCAAAGGCGTTCGATCAGATGAGCTCAACGATGAAAAGTCAACCACCTCCCCTTTCTCCAGTACGATATCAGGGCGCCGGCTTCGACTGATGAATTTGACGGGTGTGGAGGAGGTGCTCCTGTCCAAGAAGCCAGCTGCCTCCTTCTGAGCTCTCCGGATGTCCTTGGCTTCCTGCGTACGAGACCTCTTCTCCTTCAGCTCAATGGCGGATTCTACTGGGTTCCGGCTCACTCGCTTTCTAAGTCCCTCCACTGTAATGATTGGATCTAATGATGGTTTTGAACCTGTTAGAGAACAAGCAGTGTGTTTGTTCTAACAGGGTCAGAGAATACTGATTTCAGAAACTGACTCGATGACCATGGCAATATTTGCTACAGCATAAGGTATCCAGCATAAAGATAGATTTTTAAAAGAAAAATAGAAGAAGAAGCACTTTTCCGACACATGAAAACAAATCTCATAGAGAGAGAAAAAGGTGCTTGCACACTTTAAATCCAGACTGCACAGAACAGAGTGAGGAATAGCCTCTCTCTCTAATGTGCACTCAGAATTTATACTGACGTGTCAAGAGGGAGAAAAGGCAGCTGAGGAAGCACTGAGAATGAGAACTGGGAGGAGTCAAAAGGAGGGGGAGAAAATGCAAGTGCTGGTGCTTAAGCGAGTGATGAGATGGGTTTTAGAGTAGGTAGCAGTGAATGCAAGAGATGTCAGGAGAGGACAGCACACACAGGAAAAAGTAACAGGAGGCATACAACCTGCCCTCCCAACCTACAGCAAAATCTTATGGAAAGTTCAGTAATACCCTGTTTCCCCGAAAATAAGACCTAACCTGAAAATAAGCCCTAGTGTGATTGTGCAGGATGCTCGTAATATAAACCCTACCCCCAAAATAAACCCCAGTTAAGTGAAACCCTGCCCTCCACCATTGTGCAGCGACCAGAAGATGACATGACTGTAAAATAAAACATCCCCTGAAAATAAGCCCTAATGCATGTTTTTTGGAGCAAAAATTAATATAAGACCCTGTCTTATTTTCAGGGAAACACGGTATTAAAAATGGAAGACACCTACAATGCAGTGGCCATTTTTTCACACATTTGTAAATGATAACTAATTGTTTTTAAATCAACAAAGTATCCACAGTACAAAGAAGTGAAGGTCTTTGACCTTCATTCAAATCTTAAAAGCTCACATACACTCTCCCCATCCCTGATTATTTCAAAGGGCATGTCTCGTCTCATAATTTAAATAGGCAAAGCTATGCCAGCTTACCTTTCGCTTTCAGGGCAGATGCAGAAAGCTTCTCTCCTTCAGGTTTCATGGTAGGAGGCCTGTTGTGAACAAGTTTCCACCATCCTGGTTCTCCAAATTCCTGGGCCCCTGAACGAAAATATAGAGGGCTCCCCACAGAAAGGCAACCAGCAACAGTGCTCCACCAAGTCGACGTCTTCTTCCTTAAGCAAGAACAGGACAGCACATGGTCTTTCAAAGACAGCTATGCTCAGGAACGAGCTAGACAACACTATGATGCATTGCCTAAAATGGGGTGATAAATCTTTGGAATTACCAGATATTTTTTATGTTCATTCCAGAATCCTCAGCTTGTACTGCCAACGAAAAAGGACTGGGAGGAATTACAGTCCAAAACATCTGGAGTAGAGATGGGCACGAGGCACCGTTTGGCAGTTCGGCATGGCACCCTCATAGGTGGTTCTCGGAGGAGGCAGCAGGGGAGGGAAGCCTGCATTGCTGCTGGTGAATAGGCAACTGCACGGGGGAGGCAGGGGAGAGAGGTGCTCAGCACCTGTGGAACACCTGTGCAGGCACCACACCATACTGGACTGACTGATGGTTTGTGCCCCTCTCTGATCTGAAGTGCCAAAGGGCTGCCATCCCTGCCCTAAAATATCCTGCTGCCTACATCTGAACATTCAAATGGCAACACAACCCCTCTCTGACTGAAGGTCCCATTCAGAAACTTCCTGGAAATTAACAGAATGGACACTAAAACTCAGTAATAAGAACCAATTGCAAGCACCAGCTTCTGCCACCAATCAGGACTGAAATACATAGACATTTATTTGAGATGTTAATGTGGTGTCCGAAAACATTAGGACATACTGCAACTGACTTGGAAAAAAAGGACCAACAGAAATGGAAATGACACTCTACGCTAAATGTAATCTGTCCTAAGAGCTGGAAAGGCCAGGGTAATATCTGGGCATTGCCAATTGCTGAAATTATACCTTCCTAATACTTAGCACACAGACGGAGCAAATTACATAATATAAGTAACGGTAGGCATCCTTCAGTCTCGAGAGACTATGGTATCGTGCCCTGAATGGAGGAATTGGAACAGCGTCTAGTGTGGCTGAGAACGCCAATTCGAGAGTGACAATCCCTTCCACACTGAAGACAAATCCAATCTGTCCCCTGTCCAGCTCCCTGGTTTTGCTGCTTTTGTGCCTTCCTCTTTGCCTCGGCCTGCTGGACAAGGGTCTCTTCAAATTGGGAGAGGCTGTGATGCAACGCCTGCCTCCAGGCTGAACGCTCAGATGTCAGAGTTTCCCATCTGTTGAGGTCTATTCCTAAGGCCTTCAGATTCCGCTTGCGAATGTCCTTGTATTGCAGCTGTGGTCTTCCTCTGGGGCGATTTCCCTGCACTAATTCTCCATACAAGGAGATCCTTTGGAATCCGACCATCAGCCATTCTCACAACGTGCCCAAGCCAACGTAGACATCGGTGTTTCAGTAATGTATGCATGCTGAAAATTCCAGCTCGTTCTAGGACTACTCTATTTGGAACTTTGTCCTGCCAGGTGATACCAAAAATATAAGTAACACAGCAATGAAAAATGGTGAAGAGACAGATGAGACAGAAGCATTCACTTCATGAAAAAGTGCATACAAATACACTATAGGTATATACATTATACAGTATAAGGTGCTGGAGGAGGCTCTTGAGAATCCCCTGGACTGCAAGGAGAACAAACCTATCAGTTCTAAAGGAAATCAACCCTGAGTGCTCACTGGAAGGACAGATCCTGAAGCTGAGGCTCCAATACTTTGGCCATCTAATGAGAAGAAAAGACTCCCTGGAAAAGACCCTGATGTTGGGAAAGTGTGATGGCAAGAGGAGAAGGGGACGACCGAGGATGAGATGGCTGGACAGTGTCTGCGAAGCAACCAACATGAACCTGACACAACTCCGGGAGGCAGTAGAAGACAGGAGGGCCTGGCGTGCTCTGGTCCATGGGGTCACGAAGAGTTGGACACGACTAAACGACTAAACACATAGGTTCTTGCTTCCATTTCTCATCATCTGTGCTTTGGTGCAAATATGTTTTATTTATATATGTCTTCAAGATTCAATTCTGATTTGGGTCTTCTCTGTGTAAACACAATTGCAAAATATATCTGCAAAATCTCATGAGTGTGTATTAAAGAAGACAGCTAAAAGGTTCCTCCTTTTTCACTTTATGACAGCTCACTTCACCATTTGTTACCTAATTTGGAGAGCAAACCATATCACCTATTTTTGGCACCAGGTTTTTTTAATTTAGGATTTCTTGGTGAGACTTGCAAAAAAAAGAGAAAAGAAAAGAAAAAGCAAGGCTTGGGGGCAGTATGTGGCCCGTGGGCCAGCCTGCTCATCCTGAATTAAAAAGATCTGTGTCTTACAGCAAATCAACAAATGACTATAATTTTTTTCTGTTTAGTTAGATGCCATTTTCAGGAACAGTGGTTGCTTATGAGATTACATATACCAAACTGCAGGTAAATAAATGCAAGAGATTTTGTACAACGAACCTCTGAATGCTGAATTTTTTAAAAAGAGAACTTTGCTTCTTGGCAGAACTGGTAATATTTCCTGTTGTGTCTGCACTGCAACTACAGATAATTTGCTTTATGCTTTGCTTGTATAATCTGCAGCTTTTATGTGCAATAAAATATTGGCAATGTCAATATTTTCATTGCTATTATATCTGTATTAGAAAATCATATGAGCTTCTTCTTCACTCACACTTACATAAATAGCAGCTCACGCATAGCTAATACATCCTGCCTTCTTTTGTTTTCTACATCACAAGAGGTTCAACAGCTCAATGGTTTGGCCATCTGGCTGTGGAGCCAGAGGCTAGGAGTTTGATTCTCTACTGTGCTTCTTTGACAGAAGCACAGAGGGTCTTTCAGTTCTAACATGGTGGTTGTTCCAAATTTTTGCACAGAAGCCAATTTCATTTTAAATGTTTACTACATTATACAGTATAAAGGAAAGGAAAGCCCTATTATTGATTTTAAGCAAAGTCTCATACTTTTTTGGGGGGGAGTGCCATTGAGAACATTTGGAATGTTGAAAAGATAAGGAAAAAATGGCTGCCATGATGGGTGTTTTTGCACTTAAATGGCTACTGTGGTAGGCATAACCAAACACAATTCCCTCTCTTATTGTTAGGTATGCCCTGGACACAAATACAGAAACTCTTTTATATTCCACAGAAGAGATCTTTGTATCTTAACAGTAGTGCATCTAGAGAAATTAAGCCCAGTAACGAACATTCAGTCAAAACTATTTCAAAGTGGAAATTTTGCTGAACACACAGAAATCAATATATATGTGTCTATCACTTGCTTTAGAGAATAGCAATGTTGCAGAAGAATAAGTAAATGCAACACAGCTACACTAGAAAGTGGTAATATTAATAAAACAACTTGTAAATGTCTAATCAGTTTACAGAGAGCTGGATTCACATTCAGAGACTGCTAAAAGGAGAATGAAAGAGGGTTGGCAAGTGAAAGCAGAGGGAAGGTACTCAAATATCTTTCTCCAATGCATGCACAAAGACATAAAATCTAATAAAAGAAGTAGACAGAGATGTCCCCAACATTTAAGATAACACAACTTTTGTTAGATCCAGGAATACCTTTCATGGAAAAAGGTTGGATAACCGTGTAATTATAGATGAAACAATATAAGGAAAGGAAGACAGCTGGTGCACATCTCAAGGAATGGCAGACTAAGAGATCCTTGAAACCAAGAGCCAGGAGTGAATAGGCTGAAGAGATTCTCTGACTAACATCCGAATTTGGGTGGTTCAGACACAGCAGTTTCAGCAATGGGCTACTAATAGCTTCAAGGTTAGCCCAATGATTACTGCAATGCTTTTGCAGGAAGCACCCAAGAAGGCAGAGCAGCATTTCAGGGTGAAAGCAACAGAATCTAGACTTCTTGCAGAGATGGCACTGGGAGGCAGAGCAGAGTTGCCTTTCATGAGGGCAGCTGCAAAGCCAGAATTCTGAAGTGTGAATAACAAGTCTTTTTATCTGAAGCCTAGATGGGAAACAACCCATACTCAATTTCTCTCTCTCTCTCTCTCTCTAAGAAGGCAGAGCAGCATTTCAGGGTGAAAGCAACAGAATCTAGACTTCTTGCAGAGATGGCACTGGGAGGCAGAGCAGAGTTGCCTTTCATGAGGGCAGCTGCAAAGCCAGAATTCTGAAGTGTGAATAACAAGTCTTTTTATCTGAAGCCTAGATGGGAAACAACCCATACTCAATTTCTCTCTCTCTCTCTCTCTCTCTCTCTCTCTCCTCCCTTTAATATCTGTTCCATAGAATAAAAGAATGGCTGGTAGATTTATCTAGTAATGTATGCTGCAAGCAGTATGTCTCAATGCATTGCTTGTTCGTGACAAGATAGAGTTTGCATATAAAACACACACATCCATATGTCTGGACAAACAGTATTAGTAATGCCATGGTGAAATAAGTCAATTTTAAATTACTGTACAGTTAATAACCCTGACTTGTTTCAAATATATAGCTAGAAAACACAAAACTAATTCTTTCTATAACTTTATTTTCAAAATCATACCAATTAACATCTTTCTGTGAATCTTTTCTTTTCATTATGCAATTTGTATCCATCCTTTCGTCCAAGATTAGAGATGGGCACTTTCTGGAGTTTGGTGCTCTGGTATGCTTCTGTGGATCAGGCTCATGGGTGTTGCACAGGCACCCCAGATTCAGTGACCTGCCTTCTCCCACAGGCGCCCACTTAGAGGAGGCCGGGCAGGAAAGTCCCCAGTGCTGCATCTGACAGGTACCCATTACGGAAGTGGGGTGTAGAATCCAGGGCACCCACACAACACCTGTGATCTCCCATCCACCAGACCCTGTCGAACCATAGTAAGTGCCCATCTATAACCAAAATATTTGGATGAGCCAATTATCACTTTTATTTTTCCAATAGCAATCGAAAGCAGATCAGGTTCAATTACTCAACGTTGACCAAGCCACCCACTTAGTTGTAGGATCAAAGCAAGAGCACGGATTCCTTGATTCAAGTCATTCCCTTTGACCACAATATAGGTTTTGTTTGCTTTCTCCATCAATGGGGGGAAGGGGAATGAACTTTATTCTGACCATATTTAGTCTTCTGTTCAGTTTTGTTTATCTTCAGGATAATATAATAGAATTACCGATTTCCCAGTAGAAAATTCCAGTGTCTTTCAATGAAAGCACAAATATCTTCTTTCCACCTGAAATAACCTTGGCGGCCAGTTCCTTCCAGGGAGAGATTGTACATTGCTAGCATAACAACCTGGAACCAAGGAGGAAGATTTTATCCACAGATAATACTTTCTAGGGTCTTTGCTTTCCTGATAAATGACAAACTCTCTTCTTCTTCTAACAGATTTCCTTTATAGGAAAACAATCTGATGTTTGGCATTATAAATCTTTGATATATAATCAACACAAACACTTAATATGTACAGCAATTAAACTGAAGCTGTAGTACTTTGGGCACATCATGAGAAATCATGAGACAATGGAGAAGAAAATAACACCAGGAGAAGTTGAAGGCAACAGCAAAAGAGGAAAAACAAATACGAAATTGATCGACTCTGTAAAGAAAGCTACAGCCTTAAGTTTGCAAGAGATGAGCAGGGCTGTTAATAAATGAACATTTTGGAAGTCATTCATAGAGTGGCCATAGTCAGAGGTGATTTGACTGCGTGTAACAACAGCATAGCAGCTGGATAACCTTAATATCAATGTGTGGTCCAGGGACCACACCTCCTCCAATCCTCAAGTAAAGAATATTATATTTACATGTAGTTAAGAAGCATCTGATTTACAGTGATCCTACAAGGAATTTCAAGGTATGTGACTTATTCACTACCACTCTTCCAATCTACCATTTCCCCAGTGAGATTTCAAGGCCACAGATTTGAACCCAGGTATCCTGAGTCCTAGTCCATCACTCCACCACACTGGCCCCAATATAACCGTGGCTTTACTGAAATACTTCAGGTCGCCCTGCATGGTTTCCGCAGTGACTCTGGAGCTCACTGTGAGCTACACATACACTTCCAGAATATGTCTGCTTTATTGAGCACACACTCTTTCCAAGTTCTCTCGGCATTAACCCTACTCAGAAAGAAGCAGACCAATTTTAGTCCCACCTTCTAGGGATTAGGAGGAGACTATAATGCCCACCCGCATTGTTCAGCTTTCCTCACCAATCAGCTGCATGCCTTTGACCAACAGTGAATTTCCAGCCAAAAGCTAGTCAGACTTTTCACAATAGTCATGTTTCATTTTGAGCAGAGATGAAATATCTGTAGTCTCATTCAGAAGCTCACAAAATGAAAACAGTGCCCCTCTGGAGTACCATAATGCAAAGAAATTTAAATCCAGCAGCTTGTATGTTATTGGACCTCTGCATTCCTACCAGTGTATTAATGCAGGATCACGACTCTTGTGCAATTGATGGTCTCTATACAGAAAATCCACTCAACACTTGTGCAAGTGGCACATTTCTGTGGTACTAGGAATTTCCTATCCTTTACTAGGACAGAAACTCTACAGGATATTTGCCTCATACTCTGCAATTAACAAGGCTTGTACTTACTTGCTGCCATGTTAGCCTTAGTCGTTCAAACTGTTCTTTCCCATCTTCTGAGCAATCAGAGCAAGTGAACCTGAAGAAGTTATCACCCTTGAGATGAGTGACCTGTTCTTTTATCTGACCTATAAACAAGGAAGGGAAAAGCCAAGCTTCAGTTCTTTAATAAAACCAAGCATTGCAAATTTTGCACCATTAGCTACACTATGAACTATAAGGCTGCAACCTTTGGCCACATTATCTAGAGCAAGCTCCATTTCACTTAATAGTTTTCAACAGATATTTAAATGAACAGCAGTGCTCTTTAAAAGAACTTGGGTACAGTTTTATAAGTTGTTTTCTTATTGAAACTGTATTTACAGATATCAAGAAAATAACAGAAAAATGGCCTACTGACAGCCACAATTTTTACACACACACACACACACACGCACACACACACGGAACTGTGTATCATTTTCAAACTGTACCGGTATCATTTTAGAGCTTTTAATAGTTTCATGCCATACTCTGTGAAGTTAAATGCTTCACTATTTGTCAGTTATGTTACCTTAGTGCAGGCCTAAAGAACTGTATTCCTGAGACGTTGAACTACAAAACCCACTATCCCTGATAATGACCATGACAGCCAGGACTCATGTGAGCTGAAGTCTAACAACATCTGGAAGCCTATTGGCTGTCCAGCCAAGTCTTAAGAGAGGTCTTGACCCAAATCCTTTTAAATTAAGGAATAAGCCCTATTTGTATCTTTAAGGAATAAGAAATATGTGTATTCAAGTGGCAGTTTTGCTTTTCTGGAACCAATCTTTTTTTAACGCAGTGATAAATGGTCACCTTTGAAGAACAGAAGCAGTTCAAAAAGGAATCACTCAGTCACTTCCTATGCAGCTGTATCTGTGTATATGCATTCACATGCGACGGGGAATTAAGACATATGCCTGATATTATATCTCAGTCCAAGAAACTAATTTAGTTGAATACAGAAACACAATAATTGCATTTGACCCTGGAGATATTCTTTTATACATGATAATACAATTATAGTTAAAAGTACAGAAAATCCCTTCTTAAAATATATGTTCTTAATTTGGAATAGATAATAGAAAAATATTTATTCTGCCACTCTCCCCATTTCATCTGATGACAGAGTTGGAGAAATTCCCAGGAAACCTAAAAGGACAGATTGAAAATCTATTAATAAAGAGACAAATTACTAGAATAAAGGATTGGTTAGGAAGAAGAGCAAATAAAAGTGACAGGTACAGATAAACTATGACAGTATATACTATTCAACTGAAGCAGTGGACAAGAACTGGGTAAAAAGAAATGGTCAATACTGGGAATTCACAAAATATGAATTATATTACAAAAGGAATGAGACCATGAAAACAATATACCAAGAGGTAAGTAAAATTTATAATATATTATTAGAAGCAAAAGATCAGGACTTAAAGCATCACAGGAATTCTATATGGGAGAAAAAATGAGTACTAATGCTCAGGAAAATATATGGAATATTAGAATATTCAAATTTATGTCAATAAAGAAAAAAGCAAAAAAACGTAAGTTAGCTTGGAAATGACAGGCATCTGGCTATGGAGGTAGAGATTGGGAGTCTAATTTCCCACTATGCCTCCTTGACAAGGGCTGGACTTGATTATTCATATGGTCCTTTCCAGCTCCACAGTTCTAACAACGGAATGGGTGACGGCAATAATTTATGGGTCTCTCCTTGAGGGCAGATTTCCATCTGCCCTGAAGGACACACTCATTAGGCCCATTAGGAAGAAACCTAGCCCCCAGAGAGTGCAGCTTGGGGAGAGTGTCTCGGCCCCGTGGAGCCTCAACTGTGGGGTTCCACAGGGGTCGATTATCTCCCCAATGCTGTTTAACATCTATATGAGGCCGCTGGGTGGGGTCATCAGGGGGTGTGGAGCTCTGTGTCATCAGTATGCAGATGACACTCAGCTCTACATCTCCTTTTTGCCAACCGCAGGAGATGCCGTTCTGTGCCTTCAGCGCTGCCTGGGGACCGTACTGCAATGGATGCAGGAGAACGGGCTGAGGCTGAACCCGGACAAGACGGAGGTGCTGAGGGTGCCCCCCCCACAGCTGGGGATTTGGGAAACTCCCTCTCTTTTGGGGGGTGACTCTGCCCGCCAAGGATGGGGTCCGCAGAAAGCGTAAAAAAATATAAAAACATGGAACATGGCAATATGATGGATGTTACATTATCGGGCACTATCGTGTCAAGGTGTTGTTTGTTCAGGGAAGACCTGTCTAAATAGCCAGGTTTTTAGTAGCTTTTTGAAGATGCTCAGTGAAGGGGCCAGGCGGAATTCGGGCGGGAGAGAGTTCCATAGTTAGTTGTGGGGCTACCACTGAGAAGATCCAATTTCTGGTAGCTGATTTTGGGGCCTCTCTTGGGGCCAGCACTCTCAGCTGCCCTGCCTGCGACAATCTTATAGGACAGGCAGACCTAAGTGGAAGGAGGCGCTCGGCCAGACCACGAAGTCCCAAACGATTTAAGGCCTTATAGGAAGGCCCGGAAGGAGAAGACAAGAAATCAGGCCTTCTTGGCAGTGGCTCCTCGCCTCTGGAATAATCTACCTCCTGGGATTCGCAGGGCTCCCTCGCTGGGTATCTTCAAAAATCAATTGAAGACATGGATGTTCCGGCAGCCCTTCCCGCCAGACAATTCCTGACGTTGCTTTCCTTCCCCTTTCCACTGCTTTCTACTTTTGAAAAGTTTTTATTATTTATGCTATTTTATATATGTCTACTTTCATTATTCTTTGTTTGTTAGCCACCTAGAGTGGTCCTGAGCTGACTAGATAGGCGGGATATAAATAAAATAAATAAATAAATTTTATTAGTAGTAATTATCGTAAATCAAACAGATGCTAATTATTAAGTGCTGGAAAAGGTGCCAAAAAGTAGGTACATATTTTCCTATGCTGAAGGAATGTGAAAGTATACTAAAATTCTGCCAATTGTTTTTTAAGGAAATAAATGAAATAAACAAGCTAAACTTAACTATATGTCAAAAATAGTGCTTTTATCAATATCTGAAAAGGAGGGAAGTAAATGGACAACTAAATAATTAATTTTCAATATTTTAACAGCAGCAAGTTCATTATCGCTAGGAAATCAGCTTATAGTTTCCAGTCAAGTGATTGGTATAGGGAAATTTGGGATATAGCTATCAATGAAAAGCTTATATGTAATATAAAAGTTAAGAGGGAGGTAATAAGTAGAGATGAATTTCTAGATATAGGGAGAGAATCTATTAACTTTGTATTAATAAAATAGAATGAGCAAAGCCCATGGCAAGAGCTAATACAGTTCTGAAAGGAAGATGGTAAATGATATAAGTCCCAGTAGGGGGCAGCACGATGTACAGTATTTATATACTTGCTTATTAGAGGTTTTTTGTTTGTTTGTTTTGGGGTTTTTGATATACGTAAATAAAAAATAAAAGTCAAAAATTGCTGCCAGATTCCTGATCATGATGTTGAGGATCTGGTGCTGATTTTTTACTATTAAAAGCTCCCCCTCCTCCATGTCCCTAGGCTTCCCTTAGGATAAAAAGGAGTCTTGGAACTTAAAACGGGACAGCAAGCTTTTAATTTTAATTAAACGTTTCCAGCACCCAATCCAGATTACAATCCATCACAAAGGTACACAACATGCTTTTGCTTACTGAGTTACATACAACCATACATAGCATTCATTTAAGGTTTTTCATGGAAAACTGTTGTCCAATGATTCTCAACTAGTAAGTCGTCCTTCCTTAGAGGCCATATCAATGTTTCATGTGCAGTGTATGCAATTTGGTAAAAAAAAAAAAAGCCAACCCATGTTCAATATTATACTTTCTTATTTAGAAAATGGAGCGGGAAAAACAATTATACCTATTGTTTTCTTACATATAGCTTGCTACATCATTCTATGACACACAGTAATACTGTTACACCTATTTTACATTTCTTTGTCCCTGAATTATGCTGTTGGGTGAGCTTGTTGTATGCAAAGGATGGATGACATTTTATTGATTGATTGATTGATTGATTGATTGATTGATTGATTGATTGATTGATTGATTGTCATTGTATACCCATACAATGAAATTACACCCAGAGACCAGACATATGCACACACATAAAATTCCCCAAACACTCCCCACCCACTAAAAGTCCCCACTAAAAATGCAAACATCTACACCGCAGGCCAAGTAACACAGTCCAACTAACTATTCACTACTGGTGGTCTTTAAGCTCATTATTAAGTGCAATTATAGCTCTGGGATAAAAACTATTCAGAAAACGTGTGGTCCGAGTCTTAATTGTTCTATATCTTCTGCCAGACGGCAACAGTTCAAAAAAGTTATAAGCAGGCCATAGGTTAGGACACTCTCAATGGTGCTACAATAGTATGACAGAAGTAAATGCTGAGATAAATTTAACTTGCCGAGCATTCTCAGGAAATACAGCCTCTTCTGTGCCTTCTTCACTAGCATGTACGTACATTGTACATTGTACCCCTCCTTACAGTTCCCTCCACCAAATTCTTAAAGTTCCCCTCACGTTTCCTCAGTAACCTGTGTGTGATTTATAGATTGCTATTCATTGCTGCTTTCACTGGATTGTACTACCTGTGTTTTCCATTTTTGTATTTTTTATTTCTCAGAGTGACTTTTTTAAATTTTTGCGCTGCTTTCACTGGATTGTACTACTTGTGTTTTCCATTTTTGTATTTTTTATTTCTCAGAGTGACTTTTTTAAATTTTTGTATACTTATTGATTTTTCCCTGAATACTGCCTGTAAATTAATGCAACATACCTCTTTATTCATTGTTCATAATTAATAAATAACATCTTTTAATGATGTTAACCATAGTTGCATACTCAATGTTTTCAACTTTAAATGCTCTTTCACTGTTGTCTTTCAACTTTAAATATTGTCTTGGGTTCTTTTCAAGGTGAAAGGTGAGGGAGGGAGGGAGGGAGGTATGCATGCATGTATAAACAAACAAATTTTAAAAAACCCACCATTCAGCTAAAATTAACCTTTCACCCTAACTGCAGTAGGGATAGTGGAGTAGGGACAGTTCACCCACCTTTTCTCCTGTTTCTCCTAATCCAATGTGCCATATTTCAAAGAAAATTACTGGGGGAAGCATATTGGAAGGAGAGCATGATCGTCTTAGGGATCAATTTACACTATTATTCAAAACAAAGAATGCTCAGGAAAAAAGCTTTATTTAATCTGGATTTTTTTAGCAAGTTAAATCATGAGTTAAATGCTATTATTAACTATGAGTTAAATGCTGTTATTTAACCATGAGTTAAATGTTGTTATTAGGATCTCTTGCTTGGCCCTGAAATGAGCAATGCCCCAAAAGTACTGCATCAGACATGAGAAATACTTCAGTACCCTGAATCTCCTTCCTGATGGTAATAGTTTAAAGAGCTGATATCCCGGATGAGAGGAGTCTTTCAGTATGTTAGATATCTTCCTCTTACATCTGTTCTTATACAATTCTTCCAAAGAGGGGAGTGAACAGCCAATGAACAACCAATTACTGGGGGAAGCATATTGGAAGGGGAGCATGATCGTCTTAGGGATCAATTTACACTATTATTCAAAACAAAGAATGCTCAGGAAAAAAGCTTTATTTAATCTGGATTTTTTTAGCAAGTTAAATCATGAGTTAAATGCTATTATTAACTATGAGTTAAATGCTGTTATTTAACCATGAGTTAAATGTTGTTATTAGGATCTCTTGCTTGGCCCTGAAATGAGCAATGCCCCACAAGTACTGCATCAGACATGAGAAATACTCAGAAATAACAGCCATTCAAAAAACCATGAGATTCTGCTTCCAGAGAAACTTTTTAAGCTCTCTCCAAAGCAAATCTCATTAAACTTGAAAACCCACTCATGAGCATCAGAGAAACTTCCTGCAAAGGACCCAATACAGTGGTGCCCTGCATAGCAACAATAATCCGTCGCTATACGTATTTGTCGCTATGCGGAACACAAAAGTCCACAGCAATGCATTAAAACACATTTAATGCGGTCCTATTGGCAAAAAACTCACCGTTCTGCGAAAATCCTTCATACGGCCGCCATTTTCGCTGCCCGGTAAGTGAGGAATGGGCGCAAAAACACTGCGGGTGGCCATTTTTTTTACCCGGCGGCCATTTTGGAACCGCCGATCAGCTGTTCTTAAAACATCGCTATGCGAAAAACGGTAAGCGAAACAGCTTACCGATCATCACAAAGCGATGTTTTACCATTTAAAACATTGCAATGCGACTGCAAAAACGATCGCAAAAAAACCATTGCTATGCGGATTCGTCGTTAAACGAAGCGCCCGTTATGCGGGGCACCATTGTACAAGATCCAAATAAACAAGTTCTTCCCTTTTTATCCCATTATCACCATACAGTGGTGCCTCGCTTACCGATCGCTCCGTTGAGTGAGGAAATTGCTTTGCGACACTGTTTTTGCAATCACAAATGTGATCGCTTTGCAATGTTTCCTATGGGGAAAAATCGCTTTGCGATGATCACGCGGAAGCGATCATCGCAAAGCCCCCGTTTTCAGCCAGCTGATTGGCGGTTCCAAAATGGCCACCAGAAAAACAAAATGGCGACCGCTGTTTTGCCTCGCTTTAGAGGCACCGAAAATGGCCGCCCCAATGGAGGATCTTCGTATAAGGTCAGTTTTTAAGCCCATAGGAACGCATTAAACACGTTTTAATGTGTTTCTATGGGCTTTTTTAAATCGCTTAGCGACGAAATCCCTTAGCGACGTTTTTCCTGGAATGGATTAATGTCGCTAAGCGAGGCACCACTGTACTAAACTACCACACTCCCAGGGAATCAGCACAAATAGAGATCTCAAGCTTAGAGAAGATGACAGGATCATCGGTGAATAAGTATAAAAATAAAACTGGCAGAAAAGGAAAAAGCATATTGTCCACTATTACTTTTGATGAGGGCAATAACATACATACTTCCCATTAACCATTAAGTATATGATGGCTACAGCTATCACATTATAATCACAAGTTTACAGAAATTAAAGACCTCAAGATCTAGCTTCCACCTTCAGCAAACAAATGAAAATAACTTCTGCAACCCACCATATTCCTCATTATTCAGCAATTATACTGAAAAGATATGGACACAGAAAGAAAATTCTTAATTTTGATCAAGGTTGTACTTTATCCGTTCTTCTTAGATGGCCACATTTCATAGCTGCTGTGCTACATATTGCATTACCATATGTTAAGTAAGCCACATTCCCTAATATATATGCATCCTTGCAGTTCAAGATCACAAAAGGCACAAGAAAACTAAGAATAAGGATTCTTACTTGCTGCTATCCATTTCTGGCATCTTTCACAGAAATAGGACATATCCTCAGTCCAGGATGCATCTCCTTCATCACTATTCACAGAATCCCCACTCTGATCATGACTCAAATCCACTGATGCCTGATCTTCAGACTCCACTATGAGAAGAGTCTCCCCTTCTACTTCCCCTTCCTCCAGTCCTTCTGAAGGAGATGTTCTTGTAGCGTCATCATCACGGCAGCTCATCATCTCACTTATGTACATGCTATTATCCATTTTGTCTAAGAGTTATTTTGAGTATGTAAGAAGCTCTTTCTTCTAACATTTAAAGCACTTTCAGTACAAAGACTGTCCAATATTTATGGAACCAATAAAATTATTGAAGTAGAAAAGGAAGATGCCAATTCTTTTTGTTCACTGCTGAGATATTTCTACTATTAGCGCTTCGCTTTTCTTCATTTCTGGTTGCTGAGTAAAGCCAATGTTTTCCTCTTTAGTTTTTTCCTTATGCATCTGCCTCTCGAGGTCTCTGATTACCCCTTGATGTAGTTTCTAAAAGGAAAAAGATGACAATTTATGTTTTCTTCCTATTCTTCTATTGATAAAAGGGTGGAGAAAACCTTACAGTGAACATAAAGTTTTCCCTGAAATAGTGAAGTACACTTATTATTTGGAAACAACTTTTTCTAAACTACTAATATTGGTTTTTCATTCAACTACAAGCAGTATTGTCATTCGTCGTTTAGTCGTGTCCGACTCTTCGTGACCCCATGGACCAGAGCACGCCAGGCCCTCCTATCTTCCACTGTAGTATATACATGCACAAATATATACATATGCTCCATTCTCACAAACAGTTTTCCTATGAAAAGGAAAATTGATAGGCATTTAAAAAGAGATCAAGAAAACCACCATCTAGTCAGTTTGACATCGATTTTTAAAAAGTATTCTGGAAGTATTAGTCTGTAAGGAGCTAGAAAATTCTGTGATGGGCAAGGACTGTCATGGGTTTCTCAAATGCAAACTATATAAGCCTTAGTCACCATACAAATACAACAAGAAATACTGCCAATTCTGCCAAGAAATAAAGTTCTATTTTTAAAAATTCAGCATTCAGAGGTGCATTGCAAATCCTCTGAAATTATTTCCCTGCCAGTTTGGCAACTGTAATCTCATAAGCACGGACCCTGCCAGAAAATGGCATCTAATTCTAAGCAGGAAAAAAAAAGTCATGGTCATGGGTTGATTTGCAAGGAGAGCTCTCTATCAGTGATGGGCAAACTAGTCCAGGGGCCAAATACTGCAGCCAAGCGTTTTTTTTTTTTTCCTTTTTTGGCAGACCCTCAATAATAAATTGGCAGGGACGTGGTGGCGCTGCCGGTTAAATAATAATAATAAATTAAATATACTCAATAATACATGAAATATACCCAAAGTTGGCAGAATTAAAATGCTCTTAGGAAAATTAGGGGTGGGGTGGGGGTTGCACAGACAACAGGCAACTGCACACCTCTGTCAAGGATACTCGATGGCCCTCACTATGTACGACAGAAAATCTGATGCTAGCTGCCCCAAATGCTCTTGATGCTGCCCGGGATTGAGTGGGAACTATTCGATCCATTTTACAGTATCATTTGCACAGTGGTGCTTCAGAGACGAAGGGGACGGGATGGCGTTAGAGGCTTTAAGCCACTTTCCCCCACAGGATAATAAAACCTGTGTGAAGGAGAGCACCTCCATCCGGTTCTGCCATAGGCTCCCGCCCCACAGCAACGCCCAGAACCGGCGACGAAGAGGGAACCGTGACCTCCACCGCAGGAGAGAGGTCGACACAAGGCGGAAGCGGGCCGTCGGTGCGCACGAGCGTGTGAGCTCCCGTGTTACCCGTTTGATAATTTTCTCCTGGACGTGGACGCCAACGATGATCCCAAGGGTCACGACAGCCGAGAGCCCTAAAACCGCCTTGGAAACCGTCGACATGGCTGAACCCGGAGACCAGCCGCCCTCAGCCGCTCCAGCCCCGCCCCCACCGACGAAGTGAGAGGCGCATGCGCGCCTCGGGTCACGCCGACATCCGCTTTCCCCCCCCCGCCCGTCCCATAGAAATATTAAAAAGGTAGAACCCGAACAAAGGCACGGTGCGGATGCATTTAACACGGTTTCGAGGTCGACTAGCTTGCTTTGGCAGTAACTGATGGTTATAGTTGAAAAATTAAATTCATGTATCATACAAAGTACGAGGTATGTATGAGAGAACAAGGACTCCTTGGCTTTCCTTACCCTATTTCCGTAGGACACGCTGCTTGTCAATCAAGGCTGCCTAGTTTCCCCCCCCCCATTCGTTCTAGCCAGCGAGATGCTTCCGATTCGTCCCGTCGGCGTAGTAGTCACAGTCAAGAAAGAGCTATAAAAGGTAGACTGACACAGTCACCCTTCGCTTTCAGATTTGACTTGGAACGTCCTTGTTTGCCTCCGTCTGGATACTGTATAAGCCACCTGAGCCCAACGCTTGGGCAACCTGGTGACGGCACTCCTTCCAGCCCAATTATACCCGCTGAAAGCCGACCGCTGTGCCGAAAACACGTTGCGTTCCCCAACAGTGGCAATTGACCGTCGTCCTCTTGTCAGGCGAAAACGAAACCAAAATAAAGAACCACAAAATAAACAATAAAGACGACAAAAAAACATTGTGACACCTTGAAGATTACAGTAACTACTATACGTATTTTAGTGTGAGCTTTCCTGGATACGTCCACTTCCTCAGAGTGGGAAAATATGGCAAATACTTATAAATGGCCCCCAAACAAAGACATTTATGGTTTCTTGGGCACAAGTCGTTGATGATACGGCATTTCACACCTTGCAATGGCGGTTTAGCCCCCGCTGATATTCAGTCCCCCTTCCAGGAAACAATGACAGTGACTTGCACCTTAATTAACCACTGTCTATTGATAAACAACGGGGAAGAGTATGCTAATCTCTGATGGGGCTTGTGGGGTGCCACTTGTTGGTAAGGCAATATAGCTTTGAATTACTGTACAGCAGATGCAGCATTTTATATTTGAAAATGGTCTAAGAATCCTTGCCTTATATTGAGTCAATTGAGATGGTTTACTGTATATTGAGTCCATTGAGCTACCTTGAGTCTACTGAACCTTGCCAACAATAAATACTGTAAAGCAAAAGAAACATTTTATATTTGGTACTTACCTACGAGTTCCTCACTTATATTGAATCCATTGAGATGTGCTCTAAACATATGTATGTTTTAATGTATGTAGCCCAGCCAAGCTGGCCCAACAAGAAAGGTTGGCTTACTGAGCATTTGAGGCCAACTGCAGCAGCAAAAGGAGCCCACCATTCAATTTCAGCAGTGGTGATGCACATCCCCAATGGTTTTCACTTTCAAGTTACTGCTCTGGCTGGTTGCTCTGCCCACCTCTCATTCCACTCAGATCTCGTCTATGTAGAAAGACTAGGAGGCTTTTAAGCTGGCCCAACAAGAAAGGTTGGCTTGCTGAGCATTTGAGGCCAACTGCAGCAGCAAAAGGAGCCCACCATTCAATTTCAGCAGTGGTGATGCACATCCCCAATGGTTTTCACTTTCAAGTTACTGCTCTGGCTGGTTGCTCTGCCCACCTCTCATTCCACTCAGATCTCGTCTATGTAGAAAGACTAGGAGGCTTTGTAACAGAGGCTGCTCCCCAGCTCCCTCACACTTTAAAGTGCATCAAGCAGGCTACACTCTTTGGTGAGCCACAGATTGACAAGCCATCTTCTCGACCAAGGTGGCATGAATGGACACCGTAGTAAAAGTCCAATAAAATAAAATAAGAAGTAGCAACAATCTGCAACATTTGTTTCAATAATTGATCAATATATTTTTAGCTTTTTGCATTTTATGTGTTTCAAGATTTCTTGGTATTCATTCATTCTCATTATTACTTCTTGGTTGGCCACTTTCTCCAAGAACATTCTCAATATCCTGTAGTAAATCTACATTAGAGAGTCTTTTAAAATCTGTAATTTTACAGTAGGGTTGCTTTTCCTTTGAATAGTTTATAATCCTTGGTTATAGAATTTTTGCAGTAGTACCTGAGGATATGCAGTGTCATAAGTGGCTGAGAGATCAACAAAGGTGACCACTATGATAATCTTCATTTAAAACCCATCCTCAATATTCTGTGTTAAATGTAGCACTTGTGCTTTACAATTTTTCCCAAATCTACAGCCAATCTGTTGTGGGTTCCATGATTTTTTATTTTTATTTTTTTGGACTTATAATTTAAAACCCATCCTCAATATTCTGGGTTAAATGTAACACTTGTGCTTTACAATTTTTCCCAAGTCTACACCCAATCTCTTGTGGGTTCCATGATCACCACTTCAACTAGATCAGGGGTCCTCAAACTTTTTAAACAGGGGGCCAGTTCATTGTCCCTCAGACTGTTGGGGGAGCAGACTATAGTTTGAAAAAAATATGAACAAATGGATCAAGTTTTTTTAAAAAAACGATGTGGTTCCCTTTTTTTAACTTGATAGGGGTGAATTAATTATTTGAATGAGTTTTTAAGTGAAGAAAATATACCAGAAGATACTTTTTATTTAGAATTTGTAAGAGGGAATTGGAATGTATTTTAAATTTTTATCAATAAAAATCTATTTTAGCTTATTATTTGTCTATATTTGAATATTTTCTTGGGTACCCATTTTTTGTTTGTTTGTTTCTTCCGGACAAATTCCTATGCATACTGCACATATCTTATTTGTAGTGCAAAAAAGGGGGGAATACAATATTTAAAATTAAGAGCAATTTTAATCAACATAAGCTTATTAGTACAGTATTTCAATGGGAAGTATGGGCCTGCTTTTGGCTAATGAGATGGTCAATGTCTGGTTCTATATTTGTCACTGCTAGTCATAACAAGTGATACAAGTGTGCATCAGTTAGGCTGGATCTGGTTGGAGATTTCAGAAGTTTCATTTGAGAAAAAGTCTGTTCACAGACATAGGTGCTGCTAACGATGGTTGCCATTCTGAGTGCCTGCTTCCTGAGATTAAGATATGTCTCAGAGGGAAGAGAAATTAGTAAGGATGCTTGACTTCGATGTGTCTTTTCAGAGAGTCACAATTCTGTAGTTCAACCAGTTCCATTTGGTAAATCAGAACAGCAATTTCAATGTCAACAGAAAATGGGTTCCAGAAAAGCTGAATGTCCTGTTCATTGAGATGAAGCTCCTTAAACCTACTTTGAAACTGCTTTTACAACATTTCCAGTGAATCCACAAGTTTTGTTTGGGAATACAACTGCTGGTTTTTCCACCAACAGTTGGCAGAGATGGCAGAAGTTTTCCTCCTTCACTTGTTTAATGAGGATGTCTAATTTTAATTCAAATGCTTTCACATGTGAATAACTAGGAGGAAGTAACTATTGGGTACCCCAAGGCTCAGTCCTGGGCCTGCTGCTCTTCAATATTTTTATTAATGACTTGGATGAGGGAGTGCATGGAATGCTTGTCAAATTTGTGGATGATATCAAATTGGGCAGAATAGCTAATACCCTAGAAGACAAAAACAAAATTAAAAATGATCTGGATAGCATGGAGCAGTGGGCCGAAAACAACAGAAAGAAATTCAACAGGGATAAGTGCAAAGTACTGCACCATGGAAAACGAACCAATTGCACAGTTACAAGATGGGGGATACCTGGCTCAGCAAAACTACAAGCAAGAAAGATCTTGGAATTATCATAGACCACAAGCTAAATATGAGCCAACAGTATGTTGTGGCTACAAAAAGGCAAATGCTATTTTAGGCTGCATTAATAGAAGTATAGTTTCCAAATCCCGTGAGGTGCTTGTCCCCCTCTATTCAGCACTGGTTAGGCCTCACCTTGAGTATTGTGTCCATTTCTGCCAACAAACTGAAACAAGTTCAGAGAAGGGCAACAAGGATGATCAATTTTGGTTGAATATCAGGAAAAACATCCTAACTGTTAGAGCAGTACGACAGTGGAACCAGTTACAGTGGTGCCTCGCATTACGATTGCCCCGCATTATGACGAAACTGCATTACGATGACGTTTTTGCGATTGCTTTTGCAATCACAAAACAATGATCTAAATGAGCTTCTTTCGCTTTGCGATGATCGTTTCCCTGCTTCGGGAACCGATTCTTCGCAAAAAATGATTTTTCTACAGCTGATCGGTGGTTTCAAAATGGCCACCGGCTAAATAAAATGGCTCCCAGCTGTTTTCTGGGACGGATTCCTCACAAGACAGCCACCGAAAATGGCCGCCCTATGGAGGATCTTCGCTGGATGGTGAGTTTCCAGCCCATTGGAACGCATTGAAGGGGTTTCAGTGTGTTTCAATGGGCTTTTTATTTTCACATAACAATGTTTTCATTCTACAGCGATTTCACTGGAACGAATTAACATCGTAATGCGAGGCACCACTGTACCTTGAGAGTTGGTGAGAGCTCCAACACTGGAGGCATTCAAGAAAAACTTAGATAATCACCTGGCTGATATGCTTTGATTGTACTCCTGCACCGAGCAGGGGGTTGGACATGATAGCCTTGTAGGCCCCATCCAACTCAACTTTTCTATGTTTCTATGATACTTTTTTAAAAAAGCGGAGTGAATTAAGTCAGGAAGTAGTGCTGTTTATTCTCCTAACATTCACCCAAAAATTCCCATCTAGATTTCAATTTTCTTTAATTTTTGGTGCCCTGTGTGAAGGACCTGGCAAAAAAGGGGGGGGTAATCAGTTCCAGTTGCCCTGTAAAACTTAGGCCTGTTGCTTTGTGCCAGAGAGAAGTGAAAGGGAGAGGAAAGAGCAGCAATCAGGAAACAAATCACAGCTGGCTGTACCTAGTGAGAACCATGGTCAAAAAGGCACTTTCCTCCCCATCCCATCCTCATGGTACCATAACTGGGAGAAGCTAGTTTCAGCTGAACCACAGGGAGGGGGAAAGAGTGAGGTGAAAGAAGTTAATTTAAGGAAAAGTTACTCCCTTCTAAAAGATTCAGGGTAACTTGGGATCTGATTG